TGTGGTGCAAATCTTGCCATGAAGAGAGAACATGAAAAAAATATATTTCAAATGTGAAAAAAAAGATAAGCGTATTTGTGTAATTTACTCGACTTTGGCTGAATGTCTGAAATGGACTTTGCAAAATATGTTTCAAACTGACCATCATATAGGTAATTTGTATTTGTTTTTTTTTTTTTTTTGGGGGGGGGGGTTTACAAACAATGGCTTATTACTTTGTTTTTAGATTTTCTATCTTTGTATATATCTTAAACTTGATCTACATGTAGAACAACAGTTACACAGCTTATTTCAAGATTCTAAATGTTGAAAATAAAGTATTTGATTTCCTAACATCTTCAAGTTTTGGAATAAAATCTACGTTCAAAACAAGAAAGGCTTTTTAAGTCATCAGAATTTATACTTCCTCATAGAAACTTTTTTTTATTTTACATGAATTTAAATACATTATATTATTTTCTTAACAATATTATATTATTTACAAATAAATCACTTCATTTTTGTTTTGTCAATTTATCTTCAAAATCATTTAACACAAAATGGATTATTTGTTACAGGTGTGAATGACTTTACTGATGTATCAAAATGAAACTACATGGATAACACCACTTGTTCAATGTTAAGTGCCCAGAAAGTGAGATTTCATTCTACCAGCATACAGACAGAGTGATGCAGGACAGCAATAAAGCAACAGCTGTGGGGATCTGAGGACTCACTGTATATAAAATGGGTCAAGATAAGTGTTTGAAATGAAATATTACATTTAATATTGGTGAATATTACTTCATGTACCACATGGATGCTTAAACAATATATTTCAATTATAACATTAATGGTGATAAATTTTGATATAAGTATTGGATTTTAATTTCTCCTTCCTAATCAGTATAAAATGATGACAACTTAGATTTTTTCAATCTTTCACTGATTATTTTCGATACACCTGTACATGTAAATTGAAAGTGATGATTTTTGTGTGTTTAGATGAGGCATAAATTTCCATGGCAAAAAATATGTTTCAGTCATCCCTTTAATATACTGGCTCAAAGTTTCATATACCAGTATATATAGTGAAATTTTGAAACACAGGGTCAATTCAGTTTTAATTATGTCATACACGATGCAAAGCTTACTTCTGTAAAAATATTTTAATGAACTATCCATCTTAAGGCTAATTTTGTACATACTACAACAATATAAATTTACAGCTATACGTTTACAGAATATGTTGACAAAGTTTGTTTATTGATGCGCATATGCTAGGTTCATATTTAGTGCAAATATACAAACATAATAGTTTTCATTCATATAATTTAAAGTATTTTCTTTCATTTAATTGTTAGCAAAGTATTATTCTTTATCAAAAATGTAAGTTCTTCTTAGAAAATCTATAAATATTTTGTTTATTTTCACAATTTCAGTTTTTTCACAGTTTTTGATGCTGTTACTTAACTTAAAATGTATGGTTTTAGATTTGTCATCTGTCTTTCTTTACAACTTTCCCTCATACAAATTTTATACACCCAAAACACAACTTTACAATAATATAGAGACCTACAGTGGTCACAAATGGTACAAACATAATCTATATTACAGAAGTCATCATCATTATACAGTGTTCTAATTCATTTTTTCATTATTTTCAACTTGTTGATTATCATGTTCAGATTTCCTGACCCATAATATATATAGATCATTTTAGATATGGTGACAGAAAGTTAAAAAATACTACAAAATAAACTACATTTATTGTAGTAAAAAACAAGTGCTTGGCTGTAAAGAAGATAAAAATGGAAAAAAAAGACAGAAAGAGTGTACAAGGTCAACGCTGGTTAAAAAATGTTGTGAACATTTTTGCATGGAAAAGAATTAAAAAGCACAAATCAGGATGGAATTGTGGAAAGGTGAAAAGGAAAATAGACTGACTGCAAATATCATGCTAATAAATATGGAATAAAAAAAATATATAAAAACGGAAAATAAAACCTTTTTTTCTCAGATTTTAATTCATTTAATTAATTAATTAATTTATTTCTAAAGAAATAGAAACATATGACTTCCTCTTGCCTTTTCTCCATATTTCTTTTCAAGGACATATTTCAAGTAATTACCAGTTTATGCAAAATAGTTTTCAGAATCACAATTACCGGTATTCAAGATTTCCTAGATATTTCTATATATCTAACATTTTTTACATTTTGAAATATTTTGTCTTCATACATAATTAAATTCTGACAAAAAAATTAGTATTTTAAGAACTTATGGCTCAAAATATTTCTTACTAAATGTGCATCAAATGGTTACACTATTTTAATAATAAAACAGTTTTGCTGTGTAATGAATGAGGCCTACTGGCTACCCCTAAACCCTATTATGCTAAAAAGGGGGAATATTTTGAATTTTTAAGCATTCAAGTTCATAGATTTGACATGATATGGCAAGTATATGCATATGTATTTTTTAATTATTTGATTCTTAAATAAATTTATTTAATTTGATCATGAAAGTGATTTCAGTGCAACAATTCTGAAACCTAAATGTAAACATCAAGGACAAAAATGAATTTAAGAGATGCAATAATTGAGTCAAAATACATTCTTTATCAAAGAGTTGAGTTTTTGATCTAATATCATATTAACAAAAAAAAATTTTTTTTCTAAAAGAAATTTTTCATCAGTTTAAAAGATTTTTTTTTTCAAAAAAAAAAAAATAATAAAAAAAAACCAATGCAATAAATAATAAAAAAAGAAGTGCTGAACAGGCTAGCATGAGCCAGTCAGATGACCTTGTGTTAAAAATTAAGGAAAGGTTTGTGGCCAAATTGACACTGTAATTGGGAGCTGGTAACATCTCTACAGACTTACCTAGCGGCGTTACTATGGAGACGGAATGGTAAACACATTATGTTAATAAAGGTAGCTGTTGCTATGGAGAGTAGATGGTAAATACATTATGTTAATAAAGGTAGCTGTTGCTATGGAAATGGAAAGGTAAACACATTATGTTAATAAAGGTAGATGTTTCTTTGGAAACAGAATGATAATCATATGTGAATAAAGGTAGCTGTTGCTATGGAGACAAGATGGTAAACACATTATGCTAATAAAGATAGTTGTTGCTATGGAGACAAGGAGCTAAACATATTAGAGTTATTGCACTAAATTGTAAAATCAGTAAGTACCAAGTTGTAAGTAACTATGTGGAAATGAAAATGTAAAAACTATATGCTTGTAAAAGCATTTTTCACCAGCTGGTGAATTTCCAAACACAATATAATTCAAAAGATATTGTTTTCAACAGAACAAATTTGTAAATAAATTATGTTAATAAGGGATGTCTTTGTTGCTAATGTTGGTAAGTAAAATCTGTTGCAGTGATCAAGTTGCTTTTACATTAAACAAGAAAATGCAACAGGTTCAATGATAGGTATTATTATTGTATAAGAATAACTGATATAGACGAGAAAAATTCTAGAAATTTTCACAAATCGCTACTAATTAAATACCAAAGAAATTAACGCAGAGGGACAAGAGGAATGTAATTTCGTACACAGCATTATTGATACACATGTATAACAAGGAATTAATGCAACATAACACATTTAATAGATCAAAAATATTCACGATGGAAAAAGGCTAAATAAAACAAAAAGAATTGTTTTAAAACTTGGAGATGGTACTTTTAGGACAAGAAAAGAAAGCCAAGTAAAGCGCAAGCTAAATTAGGGATATATACTGAAATTTTCTTGGGCAAATTTAAAAAATTATCTTTGAATAAAAGATTTCAATTTGTTTTCCTGCACTCTAAAGATATTACATTTTTTTTCAAATATCACTTAATCAAATATTACAATTTAATACCGTGTTTAATGTTTTCTATAAATTCAATATCACCTTGATAATAGGTACACAACACTGAGAGCATTTTATCCCCCCCCAAAAAAAATGAAAAAAAAATTCATTACAAAATAATTCATTGAACCTTTCATTATCTTACTGTATGGTTTCGAACATCTTTACCTATAAACATGTATTTACATGGCACTTTGAACTTATATAGTATAGATTATTGTTACTATATATAGATTATTTATAGTCCCTTAATATTAAAAAAATTACATATTTTCTTGTTTAGGAATGATTGATGTTATACATATTGCATCTTAAACACACCTCATTAATCAGCTAAATTTAACTTCACAATCTTTATGAAAAATAGATAAAAAATAAACTGATTTTGAATTATCCGATTCCACAAGCACGTAAATAGATAAACAAACGAGACCTCCACCAGGTGACAGTAGTTGTACTGTATATCATGTAAGAAAAAAAGACCACAACAGAAAAGACAACCAACCAACAGGAACATCAATAAAATTACTGTATTAAAAAAATAGTCATAATAAAGTTTCTGAAATAATGAAATATATTCTGTTTATAAAGAGAAATGATTTTCATGTAAGAGACCTGTAAGAATGTAAATCAATTGTTGGAAAATTAAACAATTGATGTCTATCACAGCTATCACAGCAAAACAATTAATACACCACAGGAAAAACTCAATACCTCCCCATAACTTTTTTCTTTTTTCTTTTTTTTGAAAAAAAATACAAATTCCTGTTATTGGGTATGTGATAAGACCACTATATTGGTGTAAAAACGTCTCGCTCCTTTTTAATACATTTATGATTACATAAAAACATTGAGTGTCAAAATGATGTCTTAAGATGTGAAAGTAATACAAAGCTGAATGGGCAATATTATTTTACCAGCTTACAGGTACAATAGGAAACACACTATTGTAGGTCTGCTAAACTACTCCGAAAACTGAGAAAGACTTGATGAAGAAGGAAATGTATTTTAAGCATTAGTTGATACGCGGATATAACCTGAACATATTTACCAACACTGTTTTGTAATTTTGACCTCTAATTGACAATGTCTAACTGCTACATATAAACTGTTAAGTATGCATACATGACAAGTAACATTGATACGTACGAGAATTTGAAGGCAACGAGGGCACAGATGACCACAGCAGCATCCAAAATGTTCCATAAGTCTCGGCAATATGATCCAGGATGTAGAATCACTCCAAGATCTATCACCTATGTAAAAAAAAACTTACTTCAGAGTTTTCACTAAATTGAATTGCATTTAATAAAATATAGACTTCAAGTCTTTGTTAGCTGCTAGCTTGAAGGCTAATATGTCCAAAAATTGTTTTATGCCACCACTAAACATTCTGTGGTTTTCTCGACTAACTAAATTATGTACAGTGCCAGTTAATAGAGGCCACTCAAGGGAGTAGAGAAAAAAGGTTTACACACACTGGTGGCCTTTATACAGAAATATAGAACTATTAATAGTATTACATCGCAACCAAAAACCAATTGTTTTATTAATATGTATTTGTTACTTAAGACAGGTTAAACTTAATTCAATTTTCTACACATATCAGCAAAAAACACATTATGAATGTGCACTGACATACTGATTAATCTGAATCCCGAATTCAGAAGCTCTTTTATTTGACTTAATAATATAGTTTTTCCTAGCAAAAAACAGCCAAAACTGTATTCTGAACTCCTCTCTTATCTGACCAACATATATCAGTTGTACTATTACATTGATATGATAGACAGATTAAAAAACTAATTTAAAAATATAGACACAAATATTGACCTGATTAAAACTTAAAATTAATTGTACACCTACTGGGCTCTCACACCCTATTTTGGGCCCGGGGCCCTTAGAATTGGGAAAAATAATGGTGTTTTCCATGGAATTGGGAAAACTTGGGGTCTAAATTGGGAAAAAAAGATACTATTTTGCATTGGGAATGGGGCTGAATATCGACCCCAAATCTGGCAGATCGAGAGCCCTGACCTATATGTATTTAAATATACTGACAAGAAAACTGCAGTTTCCATATCTAACGCTATCAAGAATATGTATGCTATATAGTGATTTACTTTTGAGGGGTTTATGTTTCAAATTTGTTCCAGTTCAGGGTTGTGACTCAATCACATGGATAAAATTACAACTTAGCTGTGAACAGAAACATAAGTCTTTAAATTGGTATTTATGTGTACAATGATGTTACATGCACTTTCTGAGATTTCCATTTGTGGTACAAATATTTTCTAGGTTGTTTATTCTAGCGACTGGGAATAGCGAAATTAAATGCCCACTAATATTACCAACTTTACAGTATAGTGATAAAGCCCACCTTTAGTATCATCTCTATAGTGAACACTGCTGTAAAGACATAGTCAAAGTACTCCAGGATACTGTTGTGGGTCGACTTTTCTCTCACCGGGTCCTCCGTAGCCAAGGCAATACTACTGGCGCTTATCACAATCATAATGAACAGATCAAAGTAACGCAGGTTCACAACAAAATGACAGAATCGACGAATTCTGAAAACAAAATATCATAAAGAATATTAATATTGAAAGTAGAAAATTGAACTCTGATGTAACGGCCCTTTACATATCATCCAAACACTCAAATTATCAGGTTTGTTTTAGGTTTCACTTAAATTCATTTGACTTTAACTAAACAAATGTAAAAATTTCAGTAAACCTTCCAAATTTTCATCTACAATTTTTTCTTACATTAACCTTTAATTAGTCGTGACCATCTTCCACATTTATTTCAACCTTCAACTGGAATTTATCGGACTTTCTCTTACAATATGTTAGCTTTTGACCAAGTTACCTATATTATTCTGACTTTCACCTACAAGAAACATTAGCCTATGTATGACCTTCACCTACAATCTAATTGACCTTCACATATCATTTATATGACTTACAACTTCAGTATACATGACTTTCACCTGCAGCTCATCAGACATTTACCTAATTATTTATCTGACCTTCACCTACATGAGATTTGATCTATGTTTGACCTTCGCCTTTAATTTATATGACCTTATCCAACAATTTTTCTGACCTATCACTTATTTTATGTAAACATGTTGTGACTTGTATTTTGCTGGTTTGACACCAATCTTATTTCTAACAAAAACTTTACTATACTCACGGATTTGTTGGACCAAAGATGAACATGAAAACTACTATACTCACGGATTTGTTGGACCAAAGATGAACATGAAAAATCTACTATACTCACGGATTTGTTGGACCAAAGATGAACATGAAAAATCTACTATACTCACAGATTTGTTGGACCAAAGATGAACATGAAAAATCTACTATACTCACGGATTTGTTGGACCAAAGATGAACATGAAAACTCTTCTACACTCACGGATTTGTTGGACCAAAGATGAACATGAAAACTCTACTATACTCACGGATTTGTTGGACCAAAGATGAACATGAAAACTCTTCTATACTCACGGATTTGTTGGACCAAAGATGAACATGAAAAATCTACTATACTCACGGATTTGTAGGACCAAAGATGAACATGAAAAATCTACTATACTCACGGATTTGTAGGACGAAAGATGAACATGAAAAATCTACTATACTCACAGATTTGTTGGACCAAAGATGAACATGAAAACTCTACTATACTCACGGATTTGTTGGACCAAAGATGAACATGGAACTATAAGGAAGCATTGGTTTTGGTCCACTGTTAGAATTTTCTTCCTGCTGTCCTGTAGCGGGGTCTGGGACATCTACACTACTATCGTTACTTCCTACAAAATACATACAAATATGTTTATTCTTACACTATATTACATATTGTTGATCATCTAAAAAAACCAAAAAGAATTACATATATTTTACCACGATACTCTTCACATTTCCTGATCATTGTAAAAATCTTTTTTTTTTTATAGATAGTTGTTAAGAAATTTTTTTTAAACTCTTGATAAATGATAATCAAATAGGAGAGTTCAATATTCAAAATATTCTTTTCTGAAAAATTATCAAGCAGAGAAAAAACATTTAAAATGTTAAATATATCAGAAGATATATTCTCATTTGGATATAACTGATGTTTTGTTGTGAAGATGCTATTGGAAAAGTCTTTTAAAAACTAGAAACAGAAAAAATAACATACCAAAGAAAAGGAAACCTATTGACAGGGTCTCAAATTATTTGATTAATAATACTAGGTATGATAATTATTAAAACTGTCATTCATTAAAAAAAAGTTTAACAGAATGCATTTTAGTAGCAGAAAATAGCTGAAAAAATATTTTCTATAATGTTCTTGTATAAAATTATAAGAAATATAAGAACAGGAAAAATTGAAGGCAACCCTCTATAGATATATATATCATCATTATGTATATACAGCTAAACACAAACCCATCATACATGTTACAAAACAAATACAAAGTTTGCTAATGTTTAATACAAGGAAATCTAGGTGCATTACATAAGTATATTGTACTCCTGATCTAAACAATAGTTACAGAAAACAATTTATAGTTTGAAAGATCAACTCATTAAATCTAGTATTGTCAAAATTGTTTTGTTAATATTTCTACAAAAAAAATCACAACTTTATCAGTTTATCAAATATGCAGAAGAAGATTGAAAATCAATAATTAGATATTGTTGATTCCGAGTTCCAAGTAAAATTCATGAGACAGAATGTCTACTTCCACAGCATATATATTTTCATTCTTATGTAATTCAATCAAATTCATGCACCAAAAAAAAAAGTATAAATTATAATCATAAAAGTTTGAAAAATTAGTCTCTGTGTCTCACTAATTAAATATGTATCAGTCTCTGTGTCTCACTGATTAAATATGTATTAGTCTCTGTGTCTCACTAATTAAATATGTATTAGTCTCTGTGTCTCACTGATTAAATATGTATCAGTCTCTGTGTCTCACTGATTAAATATGTATCAGTCTCTGTGTCTCACTGATTAAATATGTATCAGTCTCTGTGTCTCACTAATTAAATATGTATCAGTCTCTGTGTCTCACTGATTAAATATGTATCAGTCTCTGTGTCTCACTGATTAAATATGTATCAGTCTCTGTGTCTCACTGATTAAATATGTATCAGTCTCTGTGTCTCACTAATTAAATATGTATCAGTCTCTGTGTCTCACTGATTAAATATGTATCAGTCTCTGTGTCTCACTGATTAAATATGTATCAGTCTCTGTGTCTCACTAATTAAATATGTATCAGTCTCTGTGTCTCACTGATTAAATATGTATCAGTCTCTGTGTCTCACTGATTAAATATGTATCAGTCTCTGTGTCTCACTTATTAAATATGTATCAGTCTCTGTGTCTCACTGATTAAATATGTATCAGTCTCTGTGTCTCACTGATTAAATATGTATCAGTCTCTGTGTCTCACTGATTAAATATGTATCAGTCTCTGTGTCTCACTGATTAAATATGTATCAGTCTCTGTGTCTCACTGATTAAATATGTATCAGTCTCTGTGTCTCACTGATTAAATATGTATCAGTCTCTGTGTCTCACTAATTAAATATGTATCAGTCTCTGTGTCTCACTAATTAAATATGTATCAGTCTCTGTGTCTCACTGATTAAATATGTATCAGTCTCTGTGTCTCACTGATTAAATATGTATCAGTCTCTGTGTCTCACTAATTAAATATGTATCAGTCTCTGTGTCTCACTGATTAAATATGTATTAGTCTCTGTGTCTCACTAATTAAATATGTATTAGTCTCTGTGTCTCACTAATTAAATATGTATTAGTCTCTGTGTCTCACTAATTAAATATGTATTAGTCTCTGTGTCTCACTGATTAAATATGTATCAGTCTCTGTGTCTCACTGATTAAATATGTATCAGTCTCTGTGTCTCACTAATTAAATATGTATTAGTCTCTGTGTCTCACTGATTAAATATGTATCAGTCTCTGTGTCTCACTAATTAAATATGTATCAGTCTCTGTGTCTCACTGATTAAATATGTATCAGTCTCTGTGTCTCACTGATTAAATATGTATATTAGTCTCTGTGTCTCACTGATTAAATATGTATCAGTCTCTGTGTCTCACTGATTAAATATGTATCAGTCTCTGTGTCTCACTGATTAAATATGTATTAGTCTCTGTGTCTCACTAATCTGTGTCATAAATAATATGTATCAGTCTCTGTGTCTCACTGATTAAATATGTATCAGTCTCTGTGTCTCACTAATTAAATATGTATTAGTCTATTTGTCTCACTTATTAAATATGTATTAGTCTCTGTGTCTCACTTATTAAATATGTATTAGTCTCTGTGTCTCACTAATTAAATATGTATCAGTCTCTGTGTCTCACTGATTAAATATGTATCAGTCTCTGTGTCTCACTGATTAAATATGTATCAGTCTCTCTATGTCTCACTAATTAAATATGTATCAGTCTCTGTGTCTCTGTGTCTCTGTGTCTCACTGATTAAATATGTATTAGTCTCTGTGTCTCACTGATTAAATATGTATCAGTCTCTGTGTCTCACTGATTAAATATGTATTAGTCTCTGTGTCTCACTGATTAAATATGTATTAGTTTCTGTGTCTCACTACTTAAATATGTATCAGTCTCTGTGTCTCACTGATTAAATATGTATAAGTCTCTGTGTCTCACTGATTAAATATGTATCAGTCTCTATGTCTCACTAATTAAATATGTATCAGTCTATGTGTCTCACTAATTAAATATGTATGTCTCTGTGTCTCACTGATCAGTCTCTGTGTCTCACTACTTAAATATGTATCAGTCTCTGTGTCTCACTAATTAAATATGTATTAGTCTCTGTGTCTCACTAATTAAATATGTATTAGTCTCTGTGTCTCACTAATTAAATATGTATTAGTCTCTGTGTCTCACTGATTAAATATGTATCAGTCTCTGTGTCTCACTGATTAAATATGTATCAGTCTCTGTGTCTCACTAATTAAATATGTATCAGTCTCTGTGTCTCACTGATTAAATATGTATCAGTCTCTGTGTCTCACTAATTAAATATGTATTAGTCTCTGTGTCTCACTAATTAAATATGTATTAGTCTCTGTGTCTCACTGATTAAATATGTATTAGTCTCTGTGTCTCACTGATTAAATATGTATCAGTCTCTGTGTCTCACTGATTAAATATGTATCAGTCTCTGTGTCTCACTAATTAAATATGTATCAGTCTTTGTGTCTCACTAATTAAATATGTATTAGTCTCTGTGTCTCACTGATTAAATATGTATCAGTCTCTGTGTCTCACTGATTAAATATGTATCAGTCTCTGTGTCTCACTAATTAAATATGTATCAGTCTTTGTGTCTCACTAATTAAATATGTATTATCACTGATTAAATATGTATCAGTCTCTGTGTCTCACTGATTAAATATGTATTAGTCTCTGTGTCTCACTGATTAAATATGTATCAGTCTCTGTCTCACTGATTAAATATGTATCAGTCTCTGTGTCACTAATTAAATATGTATCAGTCTCTGTGTCTCACTAATTAAATATGTATCAGTCTCTGTGTCTCACTAATTAAATATGTATCAGTCTCTGTGTCTCACTAATTAAATATGTATCAGTCTCTGTGTCTCACTGATTAAATATGTATCAGTCTCTGTGTCTCACTAATTAAATATGTATCAGTCTCTGTGTCTCACTAATTAAATATGTATCAGTCTCTGTGTCTCACTACTTAAATATGTATCAGTCTCTGTGTCTCACTGATTAGTCTCACTAATTAAATATGTATCAGTCTCTGTGTCTCACTAATTAAATATGTATTAGTCTCTGTGTCTCACTAATTAAATATGTATTAGTCTCTATGTCTCACTAATTAAATATGTATCAGTCTCTGTGTCTCACTGATTAAATATGTATCAGTCTCTGTGTCTCACTGATTAAATATGTATCAGTCTCTGTGTCTCACTAATTAAATATGTATCAGTCTCTGTGTCTCACTGATTAAATATGTATCAGTCTCTGTGTCTCACTGATTAAATATGTATCAGTCTCTGTGTCTCACTAATTAAATATGTATTAGTCTCTGTGTCTCACTAATTAAATATGTATTAGTCTCTGTGTCTCACTGATTAAATATGTATTAGTCTCTGTGTCTCACTAATTAAATATGTATTAGTCTCTGTGTCTCACTGATTAAATATGTATTAGTCTCTGTGTCTCACTGATTAAATATGTATTAGTCTCTGTGTCTCACTAATTAAATATGTATTAGTCTCTATGTCTCACTAATTAAATATGTATCAGTCTCTGTGTCTCACTGATTAAATATGTATTAGTCTCTGTGTCTCACTGATTAAATATGTATCAGTCTCTGTGTCTCACTAATTAAATATGTATCAGTCTCTATGTCTCACTAATTAAATATGTATCAGTCTCTGTGTCTCACTGATTAAATATGTATTAGTCTCTGTGTCTCACTGATTAAATATGTATCAGTCTTTGTGTCTCACTGATTAAATATGTATCAGTCTCTGTGTCTCACTGATTAAATATGTATCAGTCTCTGTGTCTCACTTATTAAATATATAGTAATCTCTGTTCTCAGTGAAATAGTGCCCAATATTTTCTACTAACCTTCACATCTATTTCATGTGAATTTTCTACATGTACATATTACACTGTATTTATCCGTTACTAAGCCCATGTGTCATAATAAGCCAAACTTCATCAATTGCTCTTCGGTTAAAATACATTAACCATCAATTTTCATTTTATTTTCTGTAATAAGCATTTCTTCTTCTTCCTTTTTCTGTGTTTTTTTTGTTTTTGTTTTTTGTTTCCCCTGTTAAGCCATTTACCTAATTTTTAGTCAGAGATGAATGGTTAATTTGTTTGGGTTAATTAATGAATAAATACAGTATGGTGTATGAAACCTAAAACGAAAAGTTAATATATGGCTTGTTTAGTAGTGCAGTAAAACATTGTTTACAGTTCTAGTCTTGCCTACATATATGTAAGTATATAGATATATTGTTGTTAGCATCAATGGCACTAGTTTGTAGGTCAACTTCTAAATTACAAACTGAATTACTCTGATAATCTTCAAAAGCAATATTCTTGAAACAATTTGAGTAGTTTTCTTAAATTTACTTTTGAATGTATAAAGAGCTAAATTGATGGGAACCTGGTTATTTTATTTTAAATCTTCTGAAAGAAACAATGGAAGAAAAAGAGAGATTCCATCATTCAATGACCATAGACTTGAATTATAATGAAAACTAGTTAATCATACAAATTATAGTGCATACACAGCAATAATGTGAAACAGAACAGTCTCCGGCAATAATGTGAAACAGAACAGTCTCCGGCAATAATGTGAAACAGAACAGTCTCCGGCAATAATGTGAAACAGAACAGTATCCAGATTACAGAACAATTTCCATACAGCACTGTCCTATGTCAAAATAATAGAGAAAAGCACAGCTACTTAAAAATGTGTTTCCCAATCCAGTAGCATAGAAGATAGGAAAGAAAAAATCCCCTATCACTCTGAAAGGGGGATAACTATGTACCTCCTTTTTTCAAGTCCATTTCTTTCTTTTTCCGAGCTAGAAAATATTTTTTAGAAAAAAAAACACATTGTAATATTTTCTCTTTACCTATTCAACAATATAACAGAGTAATACCTAAATAAATATGTACCATGCATACTAAATTCCTTAATAATTTAATTCTTATCATTTTCACCCAAAATGTCTATATACAGTCTAATAAATAACATAAATTATTCTTCAGTCAAAAGTAATATATGTAAATATGAATTCCTTCTGCAGATTTGTAGGCCACTGACTGGAGGTTTACACCAAACTTGCTTCTACTGATCTGATAAATTTATTCTTCCATTTCTGAGATAGTTGAATAAGCAACAAAAATGTTAAAATTCTTTATAAATAATTACTCATCTGTAATAATAAAACATTTCAACATTTCTCTTTTTCTTTATAAACCTGTCTTTTGTCATATAAATATTACTGTATATCTATTTTCCAAATCTAGTCCTATTTCTTTATTCGGAGACAATTACCTGAATCAGACAAGGTAATGTTGTCCAGATCAGCATTGATGTTAGCTTTGTTGTCCATTTCCAGGGCTAAATTTTTGTCTCGGTTATTCTTGAGATTATTTTGGCTGAGGTTTCTGTCCATCTGACTGCCGGAGTTACTGAAACATATACTGTAAGTGCAATGTTTATCTAGAATGGTAAAATGTAACAGTGGAGGAACACACAGGGCTTTAACTACAAACACTACATACAACATTAATATCACAGTGAAACATCAATCTCTACACAATCTGTTTTGTTTGTATCCTTTTTTGTAATAAATCACTTTGCTTTTAAACAATGATTTTTCAAACAAAAAAAATCTTTTCTAAAAAAGCTTTTCTGCGAGACACACAAAATACTTTATATTTTTCCCTACAAGATTTTTTTGGTCAACCCTCAAAATGCAAAGTTCTGATATTTTCTTTTTCAAAATAATCAATATTTTGTCAAGAATTATTTCTATTCAAATGTCTAATATTCCAGTTTAGTCAGGTAATTTTTTTCACTCCTGAAACCATTTTTAACTCTCATAAAAGTATCTTTCTTTTGTTTTCATTTCAAGAAACTAATTTTGAAATGAGTGCTAATTCATGAAGTTCAACCAATAAAATCCTCATTTGAAAATAAAAAGGTAATTTTGAGATTAATGTTTCACTGAAACAAAAAATTGGAAATAGTTCAGAAAAGTTTGATGGTATAATTCTTGATATATAGTTCTCATTATAAGGAGCTCATTCCATAGAGAGAAAGAAAAGATGAGTTAAGTTCTGTCAGTCAAAAGTTGCAAGCGTATTTGGTAATAAATAGATTTTCAAAGTTTTGATGACAAACTTTTCTGATTTTTACTTGGATGAAGCTGGAAATTTTATATCTTTTTGTTATGATTACAAGAAAAATACTCCAATTTAAAGATTTTTTGTTTTGTTTGAAACAATATGGATAAAATCTCCAGCATTAGAAATTTGGTGATTCAAAGACAGAGTGTAAAGGTATATAAATAGAAAACCAATAGCAGGATACATACAAGGTCAGGGTCATAACAGAGGCAGTACACAGATTTCAAGGTCATAACAGTGGTGATACACAAAGTTCAAGGTCATATTGGTGGCAAAACACAAAGTTCAAGGTCACATTAGTGGCATTACACAGAGGTCAAAGTCAGCAGTGATTTCACACAGATATTAAAGTCAAAAAACATGAAAATTCAAGGAACAAGTAGGAACATTATGCAAAATAGCTTTTGTGGGACTAATAAATTGAACAAAATGATGTTATGAAATATAGTAATGTCAATTATTTCAAGTGTTCAATAGTACAAAAGAAAGACTGAATACCTGAGTATATCAAAAAGTAAATGTGATTAATCACCTACATTCCTTTTGACCAAAACTAAATGGAATAGTGAAAGGTTTTCCACAAACCATGAAATGCCTGTTAAAGATTCCACAAGACCTTTTCCAACTCAAAGAAAAACACCTAGAAACAAATCTACCAAAAGAGCTATTAAATTGGATTAAGATATCTGTCATGCTGATCATGTTACTTTGATTTTTGCTTACTAACTTTGACCCTATTACTTTGACTACCCGTCATCTGACCTGGTTACCTTAACTTTTTACTACTTGACCTCTGACACCTGACCTTGTTACTTCAGACAAACTGACCTATGATCCTGTTCCTTTGACTTTGGACTATCTGACCTTTGATGGCAAAAAATTTGTTAAAATATTTAGCATCCTTACTTGTTTATTTTTTTCTTTCAATCACCCAAACTTGAGGACATAATTCCCAAATTACTTAGCTATATTTAATAATAATATAAAAACAAAATTGAGTACAGAAAAATATCTGTATAGAATTGTAATGAAATATTTGGATCGATAAAATATTTCCTTAATTCATTTAAGAAAAGAAATGACAATTAAACATATGAGTACTAAGACTCGCACATTTTTGTTGACTTACATGGTATGTTTCTTAACAAAAATTCATGCATCGAAAGTAGGAAGGGTAATTCAATAGGAGTGTGAGTGATTATACCAGAAAGACTTAGACCAAGTGCAATTTAGAAAAATATGTTGAAAAAGATTTCGCAATCTAGAATCATAGTGCTTAAAATATACAAGTTAAGATTTAACAAGATCTGATCTGTTCTTTCACAGTCCTGTGTTAAAACATTACAACAAGAAATATACATTTCCAAAATTACCAAAAATTTTCATAAACCAATCACTTTGTTGATTACTCAGTGTTTACTTGAATAAAATAAGTCTTTACAGATCAGTATTTTTTTTTCATTTTTTTTTTTTCATTTTTTATAAGTGAAAGGAATAAAAATCTGTTGTTTACAAAACGTAGCTCATCATTTACCAAGAATTCAGAAATATATTTTATTTCTAAAATTTATTACACTTGTTTATAATTCTTAATAATCGAATATTGTATAATCGTTGTTGACAATTTTCCAGTTGGTACATTTAATGTTGTACACCTGTAATGGTCCTTTTTTCCCATTGTAATTTTACTATCCTTTTCAATCAGATATCGAAGAAAAATGGATATGACTTGCTCTCTTTTCTCTTGAAGTCCAAGGTGCTAAGACATTCTAAATTATCAGGGCCACTTTTTTTTTTAAATTAAGAAATATACTTTATGGACTTATATCTTGTTCTCAAGTATCTAACACAGAGAGCAAAAATGAGAAAATGATAACTTACTACGGAAAGTTTCCTGTTTTTGGGTCCTCATTGTTTGCAGGGGATGGTGGACATATATTGACTTGTGGAGGGAGGCCTGTTTCTGTCAGAGCTAGGGCTTCACGATTTTGTTCCTCCAGCATGCGCTGTAAAATACACAAACACTCAATCAGCAAAATCTCTTTCCCTTATACACCAACTGTAATTTCTAATGGATTTTTTTTTCAATTTTTCCTGACAAATATATTTCTTTTAAATAAATGCAAATCAAACTTCAGCAAATCCTCAAAATACTTGGTAGAAACATGTTACAGATTCTGTAGGATTTATGTAATTACAGAACTGATAATTCATAAAATTTTCTGTCAAATAAATCCATTTTTAATTTGATAGATTACTAATTAAAAAATATAAAGAAAAGAAAAGAAAAAAACATTTGTAAGCAGGGGACTTATGGAATTAAAAGATGTTTGAAGATATATATGCAATCAAAAAATCAATGTTTGGTTTTAAGCCTATTCTATTGTATTATGTATCATTAAAACATTAAAAGTCAATGATGTTATATATTAAGTCAATGACAGATTAAGTTATGAAGTATGCTACCAACCACGCGATAGCTACCTAGATTATAGATAATAAATATAAACACTTTTCAGCTTGTGTTTGATTTATGTATCATACAATCAATACAGAGGAGGTTATGGTACTGAACGTAACAAGATACATGTATAGATCTTATGCAAACACACATGGCTACAGATAGTCATGAAATGTACAATCTATGTAAATTTCAAAGATGAAATCTATCACATCATCTACTGACCTTGAGAACTGTAAAAATAAACATTGAATGAAGGTTCTACTGAGAATTTCAGCACAAAATCCACTGATAAGAGCATGTGTACGAGAAAGATCCATTTAAATTCGGATGACGTTAATAAAGTCCTAAATAGAATCTAATAATGAAAGTAGGACGGAAACAAACTGCTAAATTTTCCGCCCACTTATAGTAAATATAAATTATCAATGACAAAGCTTGAACAAAACACGTAGCTGTTAAATGGTATAAAAAGACTTGCAGCTTTATTGCACAGTAAACAGATATTCATGAATGAAGCAAAAGAAAGCAATTTTGAGATCCTCCCCTAATTTTAAAACAAGAAATGAACAATATCATGAGACTTTTGTGGGCTCTGGGGTCACTTAAATTGATGACAAGAGACCCCATGGGCCTGAATTGTTAACTGGTGCTGCTGTTTTTAAAGACAAGGATTCAGTGTTAATGTATGAAGCAAGGATTAATTAATACATGCCTAGGTTTCTTTATGAATGAGAGAAAATTTAATTTTGAGAAAAAGGTTGTTACAAAGTGGGATTGCACTTCACATGATAGATCACCATTATTGTTCTTGTAGAATATGCAAGAGAATATAATTTGCAAGGGCAATAAAACGTAGATGTTGTATTTATAAAAATATATAAATGCATATTCATGCCTTTCAAACAATTGTTCTTGTTAGTAGAGTGAAACCTGCTTAATCTGGCACCTTTAGAATCCATTGGTCAGATTAGACAAGAGGTCAGAAGATAAAGGGACATAATTATGTCAGAGTAGCAAATAGGAGAATTGACTTTAAAAGTCAAAAAGACTAATTCAGTTTATATTGCAGTCCTTTGTGTAGAACACAAATAGAGTTCACATTATGCCAAAATTCTGAAAAAAGGTAACAAAGTTTTGAAAAAGTAGGTTTAAAAATTGCCCCCCCTGAATTAGAACGTGTATGACTAGTCAGGGGATAGGACAAGACAGGTTTCACTGTACCTATTTATAGACAATCCAGCAATTACAATATCTTATGATAGTGGTAAAGAAAACGGAGTTAAAAAAAATACTGAATTACTTCAACCAAACTGAAACTGAATGTCCATGCTGGTCTTAACACATTGAGATATCCACTTAATATAAAAGTGAAAATACGCTTCAGATTGTTTATCTGTAGTTTTGATATCTGAGTCAGCAGTCAATTTCCCTCGTCAATTACAGACCACTTTTGATCTTACAGGTATAATTTTTCAGGTAAAACATACAACACAATTTATCTATATGACCTTTCTGTTTCAAAATTTAAAAATAAGATATATGAATTATGATATATATTCCTGTTCTCAAAAACTTCCATAATTGTTTAATATGTTAAAAACACTTTTCTGTTATATTTCCTTGACATACAAATTATTTACAACAATGATTTCTTGGTAGTGCAATTTCCTTGTTATCCAAATGGATTAAGATATTTCTTGAAATCATTTAGATGAAAACAAAAAACAGAACAAGGAAAACCCAAATGTCATTTATTTTTTTTTATTTCATATTTTGCAAAATACCTTTTTTTCTCCTACGTTTTTTCATTACCAAAATTTTTGTTTTATTTCCTTTTTTTTTTTTGGATAAAGAAAATCTCAAGGAAAGGAAGATATAAAACCATTTTTTAAAGTTCTTCTATTTAAAGGTGGCAGTTTTTTAAAACGTTTGAGAATACATTCGTAATGACTTCCAGTATCATACACTCTAAAGCAGGGTAAAACTTTATTAATCCTGTAAAAGTCAATGTCTTGGATACAGAATTTTTGTCATCAATACTTCCACCAAATCAAAATCTTAAAATACATTAATCATTTACTTCTCTTACAACCAGATAAAACGATAAATTTCTCAAATACCAGAGGTTCTGTTACATGAGAATATCTTGTTTACCTAACGTGACAAATTATACCTTCACCAATGAGAAACTGTTTTAAAATCAGGTGGCCATCTGGAACATATTTTATCTCTTGAATTCTTCTATAATTTCTTCGCCAAATTTAAGCTAGAGACTGATTCTATAATCTTATCATATACACTGTACACATCAAAGGGGATTTAATTTTTCTTTATTTGTGGTCTTTAAAGAAAGCACAAATTGATAAATGTACCTATTAACAGACATGCATAAAATTTTATCCCCATGAGACTAGCCCTGACTGTAACTACTATGAAATATTAGCCTGGTAAAACCATACAGTTAGAATCAAAACCAGAAAAGTTTCACAAAGTATAAATTTCCTCTACATTAAAGTAAGCTCTTTACTTTACCTTAATATTAAAACTTTGCTTTTAAAATCAAAACTATATCTAGACTGATATTTTTTAGTTTTATCACTACATTGGTTCAATCTATCAGATCACAATTCCACATTCCTATAAACAGGGAAAAGCTATGACAGATCAAATTTAAATATTTGTTGAAACAAATTTGGCTGATGTCAGAAAAAGACAAGTATAGATTATCATCAACAAACAAAGATCTGTTACTAAGTACTTGATCAGTTTTGTTCAGATTTACCTAAAATAATAATATTTTTCAAGAATTTTTTTACTTTCTTCTCTTTTTTATTACGTTCCTTTAAAGACTTTATTTACCAAATGAATGTTCCAGCTGGCCCCCAATTTTGCATCACTAAAATGCAAGGGTGATCAAAGTTTAATGCCATAACCACGATCTAGTTTCAAAGACAAGAATGTGAGTTTGAGGTGAAATAGAGATATAAAAGCTAAAGCCAAGGGAGATAACCTGATCTGTGAACTTTCCTTCCAATTCCTTTTTCAGTTCATTTTGCCGCTGTAATTCAAGAAGGGGTGCAAACACATGGAAAATTAAACTTAGCTACAGGGATTTAATGAAATTGAAATTGCAGCATGTGAAAAGCATGATTTGACAAAATATCACAGAAAATTTTCAATCTACAAAAAAATCATAATACATTGTAAAAACTTGTAAGATGTAACCATGGAAACCAAGGATGTTTCTATAGACACCTCCCTTAAGGAAGACAAGTAAAGTGAAATACTGAGTGAGGGCAGCAACAGAAAACCATCTAATAGCAAAACGAACAATTACTGATAAACAAAAAAACAATCAAATTTAATGATTGTTCTATTTAAGTGAAAAAAAGTTGTTGACTGGGTGTGATAATCTAAATATTACTAAAAAGCTTACTAAAAAGAAATTCATAAATTTTCATTTAACTACTTCTTTTAACATGAATCTTATCATAACATTTCAATTCATTATCCTAGAAAAAAACAATTGATGTTTGTTAATGTTCTTACCGCAATCTTCTGTCCATCCTCCTCTTCCTCTGCAGCAGTCAGCTCCTGAGCGTTGGCCAAGTTGTCAACAGCAATAGCCAAGAATACATTAAGCAGTGTGTCTGATTAGAGTTAAGGACAGTCATTTCATATGATGATAGGTGCATGTAAATCTTACACAACTTGAACATGGGCCTCAGGAGTCTTGTGCATGCACGTTTTAAACTATTATTGGACAGTGAGCCCATGACAACCAATTATAAATAAGGTTTCCTAAATGATCAATTTTGTTTCCAAACCCTACAATTTTTACTCAAGGACTCCTCAGAGTTTAAGTTCAAAGATTCAAATCAACAGGTGCAAAAAACGAAACACTTTGTCCCTGTGTATTATAATGAGAGTGTATTACTGTTAGGTATTTCTTAATCATTCTGTGGTTGATCAGTTGGAAACTGTAGTATACTCATGGTGTCTTATTGTCAAATAATCCTTATAATGCCAACAGTTATATGTGAATGCTGTTTTCAAAAGGATACAGTTACCAAACACAACCAGAATGATGAAGTATAATGAGTAGATCATTCCATGACCTTCGATACCACCGCCAGCACGGATACCACTGTACATGACCTCATTCCAATCCTCACCAGTCAGGATCTACACAATACAAAAGCTTTATATATAACAAATATCAAACTCATTTACACTGTAGTCTGTGAGGAGACAATTCAGTACCTCAAAAGGCACGGTGTGAGCTGATCAAAGGACAATCAAATAGTATTCATTGTCATATTTACTGAACAGCAATAACTAAGAGTGGGCTTATTACCAAGACTGAGCTTAATATGCCACAATCTATTGACAATGTTTTATATAAATCCAGCGACATTGACATATTCATCATTCATTAGTTAAACTTACCTGGAATACAGTGAGTAAAGCTCTTGGAAAGGTATCAAAGTGACTAGCTGGTCGACCATCTTCAAAATTCATTCTGAAATACAATATATATATATCTATTCTGATATGGCTTTATTACTAAACAAGTCAATTTGTGAGTTACATAAAACATTTTCCATTTTGATTTTTTTTTGTACCATGTCTAAGATTTTAATCATTAATCTCAATAATAACATAATACAAAAAACTATTTACTTTTGTATTTCCACTAAGGTATTACAATATTTGTAATAACTAACTCATTACGTGGGGAAATAAATGAGGATGGGGATGAATTATATAACTATATGGAAAATTCAGAAGGGGAAAACTGCTATTTAGCAGTTAACATAGCTTTAAGGACCTATTTCAGACAGATTAAACTTCACCATAGCAATATCTGATGTACAGTACTTACTCTCCTCCAAACAACTGCATCCCGAGGAGGGCAAAAATGAGGATGAAGAGGAAGAGAAGGAACAAGAGACTGACGATGGATCGCATACTGCTTAACAAGGACACCACCAGGTTCCGCAGGGATGCCCAGTACCTGTACAACAAGTTTTACATAGGTATGATGTTTAACAATCTTCTGTTATATAGTTACTGTCAATGAAAATCAAGAATATTGTAGCTTTATATGAACAAAGTAAAAATCGATTTGTTTCCATTCTTCAGAGAAATAATAAGCTTCAGTCAAAATGTAAGATTAAATCTGAACTAACACCAAGAATTGATTAAAACAATGCTCTATTGATTTTGGTAATTCTTGAACTTGTATATCTATAGGAAAAATTATTTCAAAATCTTTATTATTATTAAAACAGTTGTATCCTTTATTATCAACTCTCCATCAATTTTTAAGAGACAAAATGCATTTTTTATTTCATAACAAAATCATACTACTCAAATACATCACCACTACTTTCCAGCATTTAACAAGTGCTAAATTTTCCAATAATATTCACCTTGGAAAGCTTGATTGTATCTAATGCATGTTATGTAGTCAATTCAGACATATCTTTGTTTAAACTATGAAATGATAATTCTGCAAACTCTTGGATTCGGTAATAGTCTCTTCAATTCAACACATAAAACGAAATGTATTTTTCTAATATCCCATTGGGCTGTGCTTTAAAATGAAATTATTTGGATTTGTATCAAAATAGAAGGGAATTTCTTCATAATACAAAAAATTTTAAACATATCTACCAGAACTATCCAGAACTTAAAATGTGATATCAAACAACAAACCTGGTAACTTTGAATATTCTTAGAAGTCTTAAAGCTCTGAGGGTACTTATACCAAAGGAGGCGCCATCTTTGTACTCGGACCAGATCACTTCAAAGATGCTTCCCACGATGACCTGTTAACAGATTTAGCCTTTTATAGCAGTTGTATAATATTTGTCAAAATATAAGATTGCAACAAGGAACAATAATATTACTTTGTAAATCAGAAGATATCTGCGAAGAATTCTGTTTGCAAAATATGCGTATCTTTTATTCTCTCATTTCCACCTGTGTCAGATAGGCCTGTCCAGGGCAATAAACATGGTCATGATAGACGTTTATTACACAGGCGCCTGTGTAATAAAGCCTCGCGCGCGGAGTAATTCATAGTTTTTTCCCGCGCACTCATCGACTATGTCCTCGTCATCCGCTTCATCCACAAACACGCATAGTCGATTGGAGTCATTGTTTGCAGGCTTGTATTAACAAAACTGTTTTATAAATATCACCAACCCTGGGACTCAGCCTTTCCGCCGTCGTCCACGTGTGATTGAAAGTGACAGTGACTAACTTTCCTCCTGTCGGAGTCACAAGTGACGTAAGTGACGTCATCTCACAAGCAAAGCAAGAATTCCATTCATAAATGTGTAAGATTTGTAAGATTACTATTGACAGTGAAGTAGTATTAATAACTTGACCAACATGTTCAAAGATGTAAAAAGTGTTTAAGATATATTATACATTGAGCAATAGTAAATATTAAAAAGAAAAGCATTGTTTTATTGTGTGTTTTAAGGCACTATATTTGAACGCGTACGCATGTCTCTGGGTGATATATTTGACAGGGTATTTGACCCAGCCCGCTTGAAGAAAAAACAGTTAAACACTGACGTTGGATGTTTACATTCAAAGTCCATATTATGTTTTCGACCGCAAACATAGTTTGTTAAATTCGGGAATGGAGAATCTATTTCAGCATTTTTTTTTATGCATATGGCCCAAGGAAAAAAATAGAAATCTGAAAAATGGCGGCGTCCAGTGATGGCTACCGCGAGGTGAATGCAAATATTTGATAATATGAGATTAGAAATGAGAGAAAAAAACTCTTTTCTATATGGGTATGTAGGTCAGGTTTTACCACATTTTGTGACCCCTCGGGTGGAATATCCCTATCCTACATACCCATATAGAAAAGAGTCTTATGTTCTGTCCTAATCTTACAAACATTTCAGTTTCAAACCTGAAAAAAACTTCGGTCATTTATCTCCCATTAAAACAGTGTACTGCAGGTCTTTATAACTTGCTAAAAATAACTTTCAATTCAACAGGACTTTTTAAAACAATCAAAATCTACAAAATTATCGAAATATATGTAAGAATAAGAATTATCTCCCCTTAGACCAGTGGATATTTCTGGATTTCTTTTGTTTGTTTGGTTTTTTTTAAAGGAAAAAACAGTTTGCCCACTTTTCAATGTAAACATATGGTAAAAATTAATTCAAGCTCAGCACACAGTTTCTGAACACACAAATAATGTCTGGCAAACAAATGTTGACAGTATTGATATACTTACAACACAATCAAATATATTGAATGAGGACTGGAGATATATCCGGATGCCTAGACCATACATTTTCAGAATCATCTCCATCAGGAAGAAAGCTAGGAATACAAACTCTGTCACATCTGTAACAGGAAATAAACCAATTTTAAGATTCAGATTATTCTATGCTTGAATACATGTTTTTTTTATGATATTTTTAAAATCTTTGAAGTAAAAGACAAAAGAAAATCTTGAATTTCACAGATTATGTACAGAAAATAAAAATTGATAAATAATCTACAAGAAAGTTCAACAAACTGACTTAATTATTATAAAAGGATAAAGATTTGTTGGATGATAAAAAGTCTTTAAGATAAAAAATTTAATGCTGCTTCGTAAGGTTTGAAACTTACATAAAAATAGGGTGTGCCATTCAGCCTGGCCATAATGTTCTGAAGCTGTACATACTGTATTGAGGAATACTAGTACGATAACTGACCAGTAAAAAGGCTGGCTCTTAACTAAGTGACGTGTTGAAATTCTGAAATAGAAATTTTATTTAAAAAGTTAAAAACCTTGATTCATGAATTTTCAATAAGAAGATTTCATTTGTGTCATTAAAATTGTGATTAGCAGGAAGGACTTTTTACTGTGATTTTAAAACATAACAAAAAAATACAATCTGTTTTTTAACTGACATGTTCAACTAAATAACAAAATATGGTGATCATTAACCAAAAAAGGAGACGGGGAAATGCATGTACACTAAAATCTAAAGCAAGGACCTGTAGGCAGAGTAATGCTATGGCAAGGGCGGGGGTTAATTACAGGACAAAGAATTGTCTTTTGTATTATCAACATTTTCATTCACAAGTTAAATGCAGATATCTCCGCCTATCAATTCAATTTTTCCATTATTAAGCATCAATCTACCTGAATCTTTTTTCTGCACGCCAAAATGATGAAAATCGACCTCCTGATGCTCTTCTGCTAGCTAAAGTTCTCCCTCCTAAGGAATTAGCTACAGGAAATAAAACAACATCATAAGCATATCTTTTTCTGATATCAGCCAAAATACCTCTGTTCAATTCTCCAAAAAATTAGAATCTTTCCATTATACAGTGACAACAACCTTGAATTTCATAATAACATATTCTACAATATTATTCCAGTGATGACCTCCCACTTCATCTCCAAGTTTTACACTTTTCACTATAACAGACTGGCTGAGTAATGAATAATTCATGATAATTATCGCCAGTCCTCCTGATCATTAACAATACATAATAATTTCCATGAATATCCCTAGATGACAATAATTCATACTTCAGTATGTATACTCCTCGATAGATACCAAAAATACACAAATATATCTTTCCTCATTTACCCATAATTTTCACCTTTATCTATATAGATATATTTTTAGGTATCACCTGTAAAAAATTGTATTGATAAACGCTTAATTTAGATAAATCCTTCTGTGATGTCACACTTTCCAGAGCTTTGTAATCTGTTTCATTTTATATAGTAGGCTCCAGTTTTGGAGTTTACATCTCACCATAGCATTTTGGAGTGTGTTTGCTAATCACTTGACAAAGACTACGGATAAGGATGGAAAATTTTGTAAATGGAGCAAATTTAATATGATCTTTTATATTACATATGGGTAGTAAAACACCAAGGTTGATCCATTGTCATCATAGAATATAAAATGTAATCTTCAAAGGAACATATCAGTCAGTGATTTCTCAGTTATTTTCACCTAACACAAGCTAAAGATCAATTAAATTACTTCGTTTGTTCTTTCAAGTTTGTCAATAAATGTTCCAGGGGTGCAGAGAGCAATAGTGAGCATAATCCAAGATAGATAAAACAGGAAATACCTAGCACTGGGTAGTGAGAAAAAGCCATCTTCTACAAATGCTTATTATATCAGATAAACTTTATACTTACAATGTATATTTATTTCTGACAATAAATCATCGTCATTGTCTTCATTATTTTCATCGCTAGTGTCTCGTCCTTCCTTGATCTGTTTCACTTTTCTCACTGCTGCCTGTCTTCTTGCTGTAAGTAAACATATCACTTCACTATTGTAACTTCTGACAAATCAACTTTTCAATGGAATCCTTTAAAATTTTGTATATATTAATATGGTCTTCATTTTACCAAACCTCTGGTGAGATTGAATTATAAATCTGTGACAAGTTTCATAAATCTTGGATGAAATGGAAGCAAATGTAAGATTCTGTTTATCACACAACTTAAATACTTTTGCAAACATTTGTGAGAACAAAATTTTAATAAATAGATGCTATCATACAAAGTGTAAATTGGCAATAATCTCATTTTAAAACGCTTTCTTTGGTGACATCACAATGCATTTGACATCATGAAGCCATGAAGTAAATCACAGTTACAGATCCCATAGATCATATAACACCCGTTTTATAGATGCAATGGTGTAATTACATTGATAACAGGCTAGTTATATGATAATTTAATAAATATACCTTCTACAATTCTCTAATATACACACCTTCTATAATTCTCTATTATATACATACCTTCTATAATTCTCTAATATGATATACATACCTTCTACAATTCTCTAATATGATATACATACCTTCTACAATTCTCTAATATGATATACACACCTTCTACAATTCTCTAATATGATATACATACCTTCTATAATTCTCTAATATGATATACATACTTCTATAATTCTCTAATATGATATACATACTTCTATAATTCTCTAATATGATATACATACCTTCTATAATTCTCTAATATGATATACATACCTTCTATAATTCTCTAATATGATATACATACCTTCTATAATTCTCTTAATATGATATACACACCTTCTATAATTCTCTAATATGATATACATACCTTCTATAATTCTCTAATATGATATACATACCTTCTATAATTCTAAGTTTATCTTCATCTGTTGTTCTTTCTTCATTAAGTATTACTTCCTCTGCAAGATTTTAATAGATAAGTATTTGGTATATATATACCTGTAGGTAAAAGTATTCCCTATATATGACCATGTTTGTAGATCTAGTTGGCTAAACTGTTTTCCTTTTGATCAAATTAACTTGTAATTGTTTAGAGCTGCAAGGCAGTTTGAATTTTAAATTTACTGACCTGTAAATAATTGTGATCCTTTTTGCCTTTAACAAACTCTCTGAAGTGAATATATTTACCAGAAACAGAAAAAGATCTTTCTGACAAAATGTTAGAAAGGACAAATTCTTCACTGCATACATTGCCTTTTTTTCAGAACTTAATCTTGTCAATAATCAATGCCTTTTCAAAAAACGAAACAAAACAAACTGGAGAATAAATAATATAAAACATAAAACTGACATCTTTAAACACAGTGAAGAAATTTTAATACTGCATTAATTCCAACATATCCCTGAAATACAGTAGCAAGCAGTATACTTTAGATATATGACATATCTACATCATGATCAGCCATGATAAAAGGACACAACAGACATCAAGTCCTCAATCATCTTGTCTAAGAACCAACGTTACAAAACATTTGATTAAACTATGTGAAGATAAGGTAATATGCTTATAGTTATTCATATATAGGTTGTATATATATGTACAGTTATAATACTTAAAGAGTAAATCGTGGAAATTTTAGTCTGTATCGAACATTAGATCAGGGCCATTCAATGGAATTAGGATTTTTTCCCCTTTATTTTTGATAAAAATATTAAAATCACTTTCTTGGACAATGAACAATCCAATTTTCAAGAAAAATATCTTGTGTGATAGGATAAAATATATCTCATAATAGGTAGAGACAGAATCAGAATATTACATGCTAAACTTGACACAATGTTTCTAAATTAATCTAATGATTCACGGTTAAATGTCTGCAATTTCTAAAAAATACAAAAAGATTCAACAATATAAATGAGTGATTTGTTTAGTATACAGAAAAATTTACCAACGTATTGATAAATATGTGTGTGTGTAACATGCATGCACAAAGAGCAGGCAAACAAATAACCTAAAAGCTGTGTCACTTTCTACAAGAATTAATTTTGCCTGAGTTGTGTCCCCTGATATCCTGCACTGTAAAAGCTCAAGCTTAGTAGCAAACGGTAGTTATCACACATGCAAAAAGTGAAACTCATCTGCTAGGAAAACAAGTCTGTTATTTTCAGATATTTATATGTATGTATACAACAAAAGCTGTTGATTCAAAAAGCATGGATGAGGAATTTCTCGAAGGAATTAAACTCTCATTACCAGTAATCATAGTTTCAGCAAACAACACTGCTTCATATAACACTACCATGGTTTTATGTGTTAGTGACCTACTGATTAACAGCAATACAAAGCCATTACATAGATATTTTGAAGTCATCATTGTTATTTTTAACTCTACAAATAAATGTAATTTTATACAGAGATACCCTTATGTCTAAACCTACATTAGTCTCAGATAGTTATCAGTTCAAACCATCAATAAATAAAAAAAAAAGACATCTTTTTCCCATATCAGCCATCAAAAGTGTTTTGTGACAAGTCATTTAAATAAATATAAAACACAAAATCGACAACAAGAAAAAAAATCTATACATTCCTTTTTTTCAGTGAAAATGTCTGTTTTTGTGTCCCATTTATCCCATGTACATACATATATGTTGTAGGTTTTGATATAAGCTTGCATCAAACAAAAATTACATCTAGATAAAGATGTATGTTTAAGAAAGGAAGACAAGAGATTGATCATCAAGTACTGATTACCCATAAGACTTATAGCATGCATCAACAATTTTCTAAATGGACTGCCCAACAGACATTTTTACTGAGAACGTGTTCTTCAGTATCATTCATCCTCTGTCAAGAGTTGTAATATCACACATAAATTTAACATACCCTCCTCTGTGTTAGCAATATGAGACAAGAATGAAATAATTAAAAGATGTTTATCAAAAGTACAAAATAAACAATGTATGTTTAATTATTACATATTATGCATCATTTGGAAAAAGACTTAATTCTTTTATGCAAACTCTCTTAAAAATCTGGAGTCGAAACATTTTGAAAATATTTCAATTAAATGTATTCTTTTAAGCAACATTTTGCAGAGAACATAGAGAGATCAGTTTGATGTAATCAATGGCACTTATTCAAAAGCAATTTATTTGACTCAATTTGGAATTGAACCTAAAAATAGCCCATGATTCTCTGGGAGAATTTCAAATTAGAGGAAGATTGTAGTTTGTCATTTAGGTCCATGAACAGATGTGATTTATCAACTCTACAAAACAAATAGACTTTGAGACTTAATTGGATTTTAAATATTGCCTGATACAAATGAATGTTTGATTTCAGGAACAAAATTCCAATACTAACTCTGCTTCAGTAATCCATTGTCATGTATTAAAAGTACCAGCATATAACACAATTTTAATGATTATTGACTTTCCAGCAGCTGAAGCAAACGCTGCCAACGTTCAGTAACATGATTCTAATTTCAACAAACTAATTCACATGTTCCCTCCTTTTCAATTTTTGCATTACTATCGACTAATTGGTGTTAAATGAACAAAGCATTGGAAATTCAAGAGCTAAAATGATTTCTACAAATGTTTTGAATGTTGAAATATTGAATATCCTCATTGTTGAAAAAAGACTGCACTATCCTGAAATTTATCCCCGAAAGAAAAGAAGGAAAAATTTTTTAACCGGTTTTGAGATAGGCCTTGTTTATTAAATTCTTGTTTGTAACAATACATAATACTTCATTTCAATATTTTATTTCATCAGCCTATTCTTTAAATTCTTTTTCAACTTTAATTTTCAAGAAAAAATCAGTTTTTATATCACCTGTACAACCATGGCAATGTTAAAAGACAACATGACGGGGGAAAGCGAGGCGCCAGGTCGACACTATTGTTTTAGCATACTCACACCTAATGCAAAATGGACTCTTTACCTGCTTTCAATATCCAATTTAAATATCCTTCTAGCTCCCGCTGTATTTGTTGATGTCTGCGTAATTTGAAGAAAGCACGGCGGTTTTCAACTCTCTCTCTTTCTTTGGCAAATTCACTGAAAAGAAGAAAAGTTAAACCCAAATTAAAGTTTAGTCCTAGAACCTAATTGATTAAAACTTGAAACAACCTGGTTCAACTTATTTGAACCTGAAGGGATATACTAACTTGTATTTGAACCTGAAGGGATATACTAACTTGTATTTGAACCTGAAGGGATATACTAACTTGTATTTGAACCTGAAGGGATATACTAACTTGTATTTGAACCTGAAGGGATATACTAACTTGTATTTTTAATTATTTCAAAGATTAAAATTTGCAACATATCGGGTAAACAACCCGATTCTCAAATGTAGGATGAGATGTTAACAGAACTAAGATAAGTATACTGTATATTTTTACAAAAGATTGTGACCTATTGTGACTATGCAGATGACCTTGACATTGACCTACTTTAGCCATGTGAATTTAATTTGAATTGAACTTACTTTAACATGATCGCCTAGAGTTTGACCTACGGCAGCTATGTGACCTTGAGTTTTCCCTATATGTAACCAGATTACCTTGAGATTGCCCCACTGTAGTCATGTGACTTAGCTGGAGTTTGTCAGTTTGACCTACATGAAATTTGGCTTTTGATTGTGTTTGATAAAACGTTGCCAAGTCTGACCTTAATTAGACCAGAGACTACTGAATTCCTCAACAGTCCTCAATATATCAATATAAATAAGCACAGAAAAAAATCAATATATTTGGATGATATCGTCAACAAAATATAGTGCACCAACTACCTTTGATCACTGCTCAGTACCATCTTGTGTAAAAGAATGAGACTATTTCCTACAGACATTATCAATACGAGTGTCTAGACTGTCACCATGGATACCCGCCAACATCAAATGTCTGCCTTCTAAACTGCCAACCTAATACAAAGTTATCTTTGTTGTATTCCAATAATCTTTTAAAAAATTTGTGATAAATGGCAACCATGTTTAAATTTATCAACTCCTAAAGCAAGTTCAACTAATTTGGTTGCATAATGATACATAACAAAATCTTCAGTGAAAAATTCAGGATCAAAGGTATTTCTTTTCCTTGATTGAAGATGGGGTAAAATTGGGCAAGGAAACTGTTAAGATTGTGTTTTTGGGGGATTTTTTAATGCAATGAAAATGAGGTAGAATTTCCAGATTTGGACAGTTTCCAAAAAATTCTGATTTCCTGATTGGCTAGTTTTTAAAGCTGTCTGATGTACCATACATATCTGTAAGCTTCAGCAAACTGAAAAACACAGAACATCTAAAACAAAAAGCAAACATGAACAATGCTTGCTGAAATCAATGGGAAAATTGTTGTATCTGGCCATGTGTATGTGTATGGTATACAACCTTCCTATAGATTGGGTAATAAAGACAACTGAAGAGCACAACCACAGCTAGGACTTAAGATCAATATTCACGTACAGGTTTAGCAGGTACAGGGAAAACCTAGTTGTAATGTAGGACATTGTTACAGTGAGCCTTCTGATGTTGGCAATTAAAAAATTGGATTTTTTCCTTAAAATATTGATTTTGAAATTATATGATTTTAGTGTGTTAAAACAAAGAGATAGAAAGGACTATATACACAATGCAGTTTGGTAATATTTACAGTGTAGTCAATTACATAACACAGCACTACACAGGTTTACACTCTTAATGATTGTACAAGGCACAATTATTTTCATATACATGTACGCATTTACGACAAATTATTGGCAATGAAAATCATCTAAGCTCAAAATGTTTACATGAAATTTTCAGCAATAAACATTTATCTAAAACATTCAGGATTAAAAGCTTTGTTTGCTTTTTTTCAGATATCCATGTCTGTGTGTCAGCCATTTACCAACTCACCTGATTGAGTCAGGTCAACCTGAATTGGACTTTCATTACCTACTTGGATTGTGATGCTAGAATCACATGATATTTGTTTACTTTTGATTACCATTTAAATAATTGAAATAAATTTTTGGATCTGCTATGGTCAAAATAATGTTAAAACATTACACAATCTTTATACACAAGATATTTCTTTGTCGCTGACCTGTTAAAACATCCTTTTGCCTTTGATTTCAAAGGATATGACCAGATATATGAATATAGGTTGGCGACATTGAAAACAAGGAAATTTCAAATGCTGGGATCAATGTGCCATGAAAGGGGAGATAACATTGTTTTATATTTTTCTTGTATTTACCTTCAGGTTAACATTTCACATCTGACACCAGGTCGAATGGTATACTGGTATGGACAACGATATTACATTTGCAGGAGCTAAAGTGTGGGTGGACTAATATTACCAGGGACGGACTTATTGCCAATAAATTCTTCATCATCAACCTCAACAATTGAGTTTTATGGCCGCCATTGTGACCTCATTACAAAATATTCAATTTCCTCATAGTCAGATGTTTCCAATGCCCTTAATATGCCTGATGGTTTTGTCACTGCTAATCTTGGTCTCATATACACTGTAAACATGACATAACTTTTGGATTGTTCAAGATTTACATGGAAACTGACGTAGATAAAGCAGAAGACCATTACCGGCCCAGAACTCCTGGTTCTATTGTCCCTCTACTTTTCTATGTTGTTCGTAAATCTGTCTGTTATTCATGTTTAGACCTCTTTTCATTGATTTTGACTATGAATTACACTTGTCAGCATTTTCTTGTTTTTCTTAATTCGTTTTTTTTTTTATGCAATCAAAATGCACAATAAAAAGAAAATAAACAAATTATTTATTGTATTTTGGGAAATCATGCTTGAAAAATATCAACATCCTTGTGAAGCCTTGAAATTTTACCAAAGTTGAAAGGGCAAAACAAAAAATATTTTCTGTTTTCCATAATGCTACATTCTCTTATATTTTGTGTCTACCTGAAACTTTTTAAGGCAGGTTTTCAAAGAAACACTATTTAAGTCAAGATCTCCCTCCTACAGTATATAAACCATATAAAAAAAAATTAAATAATAAAATAATCCTATATTTTACACAAAACACTAATTCTTTTTTTGGCCAAATCTGCTCTCTTGGAACATGGAATATGTCCTTTCTATGTATGTGAATATAAAAATGTGGTGAATATTTTTTAATGAATAATACCATTCACTTGAAGGATGGACAGACAGAAGAAAAGATAAAGACAGACACACAATCATTATACTTACCCACTGAGTACTCCTAAAACTAAATTGAGCATGAAAAATGATCCTAGGATGATGAGGGGATAGAAATAGATCCAATTGAAAAATGGCCCAAAGGCATCATTTGTCTGTAAGATAAAAAAAATAACAATATCACATACATATATCATGTATACATTTTTATAGTGAATTAAAAACATCTATCAATTTTTGATGACCATAATACCATATTATACTGTAAATCATTATTTCCATGGAGTGAACTTTTAGAAGTTATGAAATGTACCAAATTTTTCTTCATGTATCGTCTTTCTTTAACAATTCCATTCCGTCTTCAAGATAATGAAAAATAAAAACCCTCAAAAATAACACCTTTTACAGTAACTCATCATATGTAAAATATTGAGTATTTTTATTGTTGACCTAAAGGCATTAGGTCAGAATATTAACTGACGGTCTGAAAGAAGACATGGATTAAAGGTCAAACAAAACAGATGAAGCACAGAAAATAAGTGACAACTTAAAATAGAATCCTTAACCTTTGCAAGGCTGTTTATGTATTACTTTAACATATGGACCAGTCACATTGACCCACTTTCCTTACACACCTCCCTCTGTTATTTTCCTATTTCTTTTAAGGTTTCTTGAATTTAAACCATGGACACAACTTAAATCTGTGAAGGACAGGCGAAAACACATTGCTGCCAAATGCATGAATAAGAATCGCACCAGGGCCTCTGCTACGATAATCCACCACTCATAACCAACTGAGCTAAAGAAACAGTCTTCAGACTGAGTGACAAAACCATATTTAATGCTATCGTATAACAAATCTATTATAATTAAATATTATTTAGAATAAACATTTTTGTGTCTTTTGCATACAAAATCTACACAAAATTAGGAATAAATCTGTTATCTATTCATGAGTATTTATTATCTGATAATCAAGTTGTCTAAAACAGTCAAATATTTAAGGAGACATCCTAGCCTATGTCTCGGTATTCTCCATGTCTCACAGTCCACTGGTGTCTGGAACAACAATCCAGTTAACTAGGTATTCTACACTCAATGTACCTATCATTGTTGCCTGATACTCAAAGTTATATGGAACAAAGATGATATAGTACACTTTTCAAAGTTGCTTGGTTTTGAAGGTAACGCTGAATGATGACGGCTTGGATTTTCAGGCTAATGAAAGTCGATTGATTTTCAAGGTTGAAATGAATGGGGTTGGCTTTTATTATTGGTTGTTTCAAAATTTTGACCAAATTGTTTGTTTATCACCGTGTGAACAGCCAGGGTCATTTCGAGGCAGTTCTCATTAAAATAGGTGGTGCCTACCTTACTGAACAACCTACCAGAACTGAACAACATACCAGAACTGAACAACCTACCAGAACTGGACAACCTACCAGAACTGAACAACCTACCTGAACTGAACAACATACAAGAACTGAACAACCTACCAGAACTGAACAACCTACCAGAACTGAACTGAACAACCTACCAGAACTGAACAACCTACCAGAACTGAACTGAACAACATACCAGAATTGAACAACATACCAGAACTGAACAACCTACCAGAACTGGACAACCTACCAGAACTGAACAACCTACCAGAACTGAACAACCTACCAGAACTGAACAACCTACCAGAACTGAACAACCTACCAGAACTGAACAACCTACCAGAACTGGACAACCTACCAGAACTGAACAACATACCAGAACTGAACAACCTACCAGAACTGGACAACCTACCTGAACTGAACAACCTACCAGAACTGAACAACATACCAGAACTGAACAACATACCAGAACTGGACAACCTACCAGAACTGAACTGGACAACCTACCAGAACTGAACTGAACAACCTACCAGAACTGGACAACCTACCTGAACTGGACAACCTACCAGAACTGAACAACCTACCAGAACTGGATAACCTACCAGAACTGAACAACATACGAGAGGCACTTTGCATGCCATCAGGAGCAATTAGGGTAAAATGTCTTACCCAAAGACACAACCATGTCAGCACAGACTGATTCCTTTCTCAGAGAAACACAAACCACTACTGGTTGGAAGAGTCGAACCACGTACCTGGGATTTTCACCTGGTTATCAGGCCAACACTAACCACCTGAGATATTGCAGCTGAATGAAGCTTACTTTAGGATTTTAAAGGACTTTGTTTGAGTGAAGGTAGCTTGATATTCAAGGGTTTTGCTAAACAAAAGTGGAAGAACTATTTTTGATATATCTAGACTTCTACAAACAAACATAGCTTAATATTCACTTTATAATTTATCCTATAAGAAGTCTACAGGGCCACACCAGGGTTATTTGCCTATGATATTAGGCATTTTATCTGAAGCTGCATTAAATGTTAGCGGGTTTATACTGAACCAGAAGGCTAACTGCTTCATAAATATAGTTCAGATCCTAATTTGTTTTATCTGTTTTTCAAACATTCAAGAATTTTTTACCAGATATAAAAATCAGCATTGTATGCACAATATAGAACATTTTACAGGCATACTTGGTGATATAGTGTTCTACAAGCATATCTGAACCAGATCAGATCCTATGTCTCTCAAAGAATATCAATGATTATCCTGTAATTAGCCAAGGCGAGGGTGGGGGATGGGCAATCAAGCACATCATCTCTGACACAAAGTAAGGAGGTGGGCTTATTACAGGACAATGAAATAGTATTTGTTGGTAATTCTACTGAACAGCCTAAAATATGGGTGGGCTTATTACCAGACATGGGCTATTGCCTAATTTGTAAGTATTGAACAAACACTTATTCATCATCCTGAAAATTAATTATTCTATAATGGTGAACACAAATGAAACTCAAATACATTTAAAAAAAAAAAAAACATATTTTACTGACAATAGTTCAAGATGAATTAGATTTGTTAGTCAAATTGGACAGTTTACAAATAAACCTGTATATACCAATGTTAGTAGAGGAACTTAGATGCAGACATTGAGTGTGTGTAAACCCAGTATTGATGAAGAAATAAACTAAACATTTGACGGTCTAAAAACATGTTGTCAGGTCCTTAAATTCTAGTTATCGTGTAATGATGTCAGACGGAATATAGGGTCACTGTACGCCAATCGGATAGGGTCAATGTACAAGAAGATACAGATGTAAACAACCTGTGAGTGAAGAACTGTTAATCAATATAATGATTAGTCAGCAGCTCATGTGTCACCTAGTACTCGTTGTACCCTATAAACTGTAGTATAAATGATCCCAAACATATATAATAACAGGAAGGAAAGATGAGACTAAATTGTAACTGGACACGAAAATTACGAAACAACCTGATGTGGACTCCAACCCACAACCTGATAATTCAACACAAAAAGCTCTCATCAATTAAACTATATTGCTACTTGGCATGATCAATATGAATCTTTTCCAGTTCCTAGCTGTTTCAATTTTAAGCAATGATTAGTATGTCTGATTCTATTACATAAACTGAAATATCAATTAATAGGATGTACATGTATATATACTCAGTACACTTAATCAATTCAATTACATTGGAGCCAGAATTAGGTCAAATCTTTCATTAACTGTGACAGCTGCCGTCCATTTGACAGAAAAAAAAGAAGAAATAAATCGTTGATGATGAATATGGATATACATCCGTTTGTACTTTAGAGGACAATACCTAGGGATATTGGAAACCTGTCATCAGGCTGTGTAGAAGATCTATAGGGAATGAATCACAGCCTTTGCGGCAAGGTTGGACCCATCATGTACTGAAGAGTTCCAACAGGGGAGGAAGTTCTAGTTCTCTTTCCTTTTATTTCGATGCTTGCCCAATATAAATTACCTTTTTCTGATCTTTTTCAATTCGATGTGCAGTTTGATGACTCAACTTCTTACATATGCACTAGACTTTCTCCCAAAATCAGAAGTAACTAGAAAATGTCTGTAAGACATGAATGCCCACATGGTATGAGATTAGCTGGGCCAAACAGAACACAAATTTCACAATTAGTTTTTTCCCCTCCAATAACAAAATATTTTCCCTTCCCACTGACCCAAATTCTCCATGGATGAGTTGTTCAATGCAAAACATAAACTTCAAGGATGGCTTCATGTAACTGGTTTTAAATTTTCAGTATTTCAAACCACTATTCTTGCATTTATATTATAACCTCTGACTTTTGGAAAATATTTTGCTACCATACTTATCTGAAAAAGAGTTCATGTCTGGAGATAATCCCTGCCTATGTGTTGTTTTTCAGTAAAATTACCAACTGAGCTTATCAGTAGGATAAATATGGTAAACAACAATAATGATGTATTGAAATCAGAACAAAGAGAATATATAGATGACAAATTGTTGATATCCCAGATAGATAGGGAGAAATACAGGTTGTGCTTGGTTTTGGTTAATTAAGTTGAATTACTGAAATTTGACAATTAACACATCATTATTGATATGCTTCAACATACTACATATATCTTTTATACAAAATATGTTTTTTTTTAGTTCTACACTGATTTGAAAAAAATTACTTGACTTGGTAAACATAAGAGTATGAGCATGGTGAAAAAGTATATGTATGTACGTAGACTCTATGCAGTCATCGAACATCTGTGCCTCTTTATTCAAGAAAAACTAATTAAATGCTTCCTCATCTGAATATGTAGATACAGAAGCTGAATAAAACCAATAAATTACACATTCCAGATGGATATTAATTTTGTTTTACATCTGACTGGTTGGTTATGTTTATGTCCAGTTAGTGATAATGGACTGACAAGATTAGCGCGATCAATGCCGTCCTTGATTGGTCTGTCATACTAGACCATCATAGTAAGCTCTCTATTGTTAATAAAGCTTTGAGATTATTGATCTTAGGAAGGTCGATTCTATTGATGGTCACCTTGTCACAAGTCCATATTGTAGTGTACAATAAAAATTGTGTCAACAATCACGTAAAACACCACTCAATATATTAACTTGATAGTTCCTCACACAATTTTCACAGGTTGGCATTACCAGACTGGTTACCAATAATACAGGCACAATTTTTTTTTTACAAAATTGACTTTGCAGTAGATAAACATGCTATATCAATATATTTATTTGTTTTATGAGTCAAGTCTGCTTTTATGAAAGATGTGTTATGTTTACCGGTAAACTTGTAAATAAAGTCCTACATAACTAAAAGACTAAATAACCTAGAGAAATAGGTTAGCTTAATTGAAGGAACTTATACAGTGTTATTTTCCAAGCAATTTTACAGAAACGCATTCTGATTGGTTGGTTTACACAATTATCACAGCTTATTGTAGACAAAATGAATTAAACTAAGTATGAAATAAAGAATATGCATACCAAACACACATATTCAGCATTAGTGTTAAGTTTTTATCTTAAAAGACTTTTATGACTTGATATATATTTTAAGAGTACTTTATAATAAGAAGATCAAATTACTGATTCCAAAATTCATTTCTAAATAGACAAAACACTATATATCTTATCATTATAAATGACTACCTTAGTATCAGATATTAATATTCCATAATTAATTGTTTCTGCTAAAAATCAGTTAAATGCATATATGTAATTGTAGAGTGCCTTGTTTTGTTTGTGAAACTGAAAGTAGTCTACGAAAAGCATTTAACCAGAAAATTTCCTCAAGATCCAGAATGATCAAGAGAAAATCCTGAATAACATTATAGAACATTTGAAATATGCATATATTTCAATCTCTGGTATTGATCTTTAGGAGAAGATGTTTATATATGTAAATTAACATCTTTCATGTGAAATATAGTATAAAATAATTCTGTTGATATTGTCTAACAAAAACTGTCGATTTCATTTCTCAGAATTTCAACTTTTAAAGTTCCTGTATTTAAAGTCTGTTTTCTCTGACTTTCAATCATTGGAGACTGATTTCCTAAACGTTACTTGAACTTCATTTCTGACCATCAAAAAGTTGTTTTTTGAGATTTTGAAATTTAAGGAAGAAATTCCTATCTACTTTTCATTTCTTCATTGATTTGTTTGTGTTCATTCATACCAAAATCATAACGACGTGCAAACTAGGAGTAGATAAAAGAGGTCCAAACAACATTTCTAGTCCAACATTTCACAGAACCAAAATCCTTTAGTCCATTAATTCATATCAATGTATTTATCTGGTGTTATGTCATGAATGGCAAGACATCCATTTTGAATCAATAGTGGGCTTATTTCTGGACAATGACTTCACATTTCTTAGCGCTGTTACTGAAATGTTACAGACATGAATGGGCATATTACCATAAATCCAGTTCATTGATGGGAAAAACATCTTAAGATACCTTTAATTAGCATACATGTATCAAGGAACTGAAGCGCCAAGTTCTTACGAAATATACAGAATTCTAACACGTACCTTTCATTACAAAATTCAAAGCATCTAACCTAATAAGACACTTCAAATATATTTGTGCCTACATTATACAGTAGAATCAGACTATTTAGTTTGAAGTTTTCTTTTCACAGTACAAGTGCAATGAAAATATCTTCTTTACAAAAGTACAGTGATGAACAGCAGAGATGAGTGTCAACAGTGCTGCTCCATTCTTTGATCTGAGCTTATATCTTACAGGTTCTGAAACAGGTATACATCTACATTTAAATCATTTGAAATTTATTTAGATGGATATTTTAACATGAAAGCTGCTTCTGTCAATTATACACATAATATATGTTTAACGTAACAGACTTTGCTGCGTTTCCACTGCACCAAGTGATGCGTGTCAAACAGTCATAGCATTACACCAGCAACGGAAATGACTGTATGCGTACATTATGAACCTGACACAGCACAGGGAACAGAAGGAAATGAAGGGGCCTATCTCATCAAAAATTCATAGTACATATAGTTCTCAGCTGCCTTGGCATAAAGGAAGCTCAATGAATATTCATGAGCTCAAATGTGAATGGTTGGTGCTGAGCACTGTCTAACTTTGATGTCTCGGCATATACATCTATTGTAATATGAATATTCATGACCTCAAATGTGAATGGTCTTTGCCTTGGGAAAATTGAGTATCACAATCTGCAAACAGATACATGGTTTTGCAATCTAGTCAATACCTACAGCCTGGTGATAAATAAGTCTGCTCCAAAGTATTATGGAAAATTTATGAGACATGGCTAACGTGAAAGACAGAGTTAGCAGTTACAGTCCAATTGTATCACTGAGGTATCCCCACTTATTGTACAATTAAGACTTCCCAAATTAACAGTTGATCTGCAAGTTACATATGAATGAATAAACATAAGACATCATTATCATCCTAAATTCATACTGTTTATCTAAAGCAGAAAAAAATCAGCATGTTTGTCAATGTATACCTATTAATCTAACCTAAAAATATGTACATGCACTAATGTTATCCAGTTTTAATTTAAACACAGATAGAGTATGATTAAATCTTCTAATATGTTTTGAGCATCAAATCATCTGTAGATAGAGTTATTGTATGTTAGAAAAGCGAGCTAGCATACCCAAAGTCTTCGAAGCAAATTTCAGAACTTTCTTCCTTAAGAAAAATAATCAGATTGTCAAATTAAACCAGAATTTCAAAAAAATCTGTATATTATTCAAAATGAAGCAGTATCTCTTCATTTGGAATGTTTATGTTTTTGTGTGCATGAGTGTGTGTTTGTATTTGTTTTCCTGCATTTTAATTGTATTTAAACAGAAGAGTGAAAAGTCTCGAAATCTCAGTAAAGGGTATTGTTCACAATGTCACCATTAGTTCTACGATCACCTATCCACTGAATTACATACAACAAACATTAAGTTGTTCGGAGCCTCGGTCTATATATAGGTAGAATTAGATATGCTCTGATGTCGTTATCCCAGTGGAACTCCATATCTTGGCAGCTGACATTCCAAAGTCACTTAACAACAGCTTGCTCATATATCTGATAAGGGTATGAAGTTATTTTAAGTAGCGTTGTCATATTTTCAGTAAAACACGCAGCTTCTGTTTGATTCATTAAATAAGTGAGTATAAATGTTTGTACATGTTTTCAAACAATTTCATGTTAGACACATCAAAAGGGATCAGTAAGCCCGAAAGTATAAAGCAAAGAAATAAAAAAAAAAAAATAATGTCAGTGATATTTTCCAAGTACATCTGATATAAAGTGTTAAATATTTTGGTGATCTACTATCAAAATATTCATATCAGATAAACTAATGTTGAAACATTCTGATGATCTGATATACCAATTTGTTTTCAGATATCTTGTTGATTCAATACAGAAATTGTACTAATGTTGAATTATTTTAGTGATCTGATATATGTGTGTTAATGTTGAAAGGTTTCTGGTGATCCGATATACCGACATTGAACTTAGCTGATCTCCATCATACTGATATTAACACATTTTTGTGATCTGATCAACTGACGCTGAAACATTACACTGATCTGATACGCTGATGTTGAAACATTTTGATGATATCCAATACACACACTGTTTACCAAAACATTTTGTGATTTGCAGCTGATGTAATGATGTAAATGTATCACCATAACTGTCACCATAGTATTTAAACATTTTGGTGATCATGATCTACAACAGATATTCAATCAATAAAAAATATCGTACTTTGATACTTTTATATAACATGTTTGATACATGTAACATGCACAACACCGACAACTTACCGCCAGCATCCTGCACCCTCACTAAACAAAAGTCCCACCAAACAAAAAAGTCCCATTACAGAACTTCATGTCTGTTCCCACTTAACCAGACTTTTCCATCACTAAGACCTTTTAAGTCCCATCACAGAAATGTAAATCCCAAAAAAGACCTATATGTCCCAAAATGGAACCATAAGTCCCAAAACACAACCTCACAGATCCTAAAACAGGAGTGTGGAAAATGTCCATAACTTAACAGTATAAATCCAGAGAAGCGAGACCATGATACTTACATAATACAAGACTGTCGACCAGCCTTCCATTGTAACACATTGAAACACTGTTAACATGGCATAACCTATGTTGTCAAAACTAGTTATTCCATAGTTTGGTCCCTTCCAGAAACTTCGACAAACAGACACATGTTCTTGACACCTAAATCCCTCAAAGTTTATGGCAGCTCCTGATTTGTCATAACAGGGTCGAATGTTTGCTTCATCTCCTATCACAATGTCGTCTGAAAAAGATTAAAGGTCTTTGTTAATTGTATTGAATTTTCATGACAAGAATTCAAGATTATTATGGCTAGTAATGTGTAACATATTGGTAAAATTGAAGTAGCAAAGATTATGTTTGATGGTGCCAAATATTTGACAATTATAAATGGTTTCTAGAAGTGTTCAATTTGCTGTAGTGATAAATGGTTTCTAGAATTCAACAATTTTCTGTAGTTATAAAGTGTCTAGAAGTCAACAATTTGCTGTAGTGATAAATGGTTTCTAGAATTCAACAATTTTCCGTAGTTATAAAGTGTCTAGAAGTCAACAATTTGCTGTAGTGATAAATGGTTTCTAGAATTCAACAATTTTCTGTAGTTATAAAGTGTCTAGAAGTCAACAATTTGTAGTGAGTGGTTTACTTTGAATACAAGTGGTAGCTGATGAATATATAATTAGTTACATAGTTTCCATGGGAACTGAGTGTTAGGGGCAAGAGGAAGTAACTTTTGTGGTAACTCACCTTCACTATTACTGGGGGAAGAGTTAACACGGAAGCAGGCACGATGGAAAACACCAACGTAAAACTCTAACCCTACAATGGCAAAGATGGTGATCGCGAACAGCACCAGCAGACACACCTGTAGTAGGGGTGCCATTGCTCGGATGATGGACTTTAACACTACCTGAAGACCTGCAAGGGGAAGGAAAAAATAGAAAATTTCGGAACATTTCACACGATACTAGTCATCAAATCCAAAATCAGATCAAATGAAAAGTAAAATGATCAAACCATCAGCTTACAAAGGAGCAATTTTTTTTACAATATCGCACATTTGTGATTCACTAAATACAATTAGTATCTGGTCTAAGCACTTCAATCTTATAAACTTATAAACTTATAAAAACATTCATGTGATATTGACATGATACCGCTATAGCACCAAAACATTTTCTTGCACAAAGTAAAATTCACAACTGCCATTATGTCTTGTAAAACCTTACATCAAGAGATAAAATAAGAAGAAATCAATATAGCGTTCTTCCTTCACAATACAATTAAAAATATTTCAGATCTACTTCCATTATTCCTTTCTTTCTTATTTTTACTTAATATTTATTCATATTAACAAGCCATCATTCCTTCCCTGTTGTCCTCAATATCCCTCCCATATTAGTACATAGTTTTACACAGTGCTGCTACCCGTTGAAACTCCATATTTCTTCAACATTTCTTGCCATAAGCATTCAAAAATCCTTTCTCATTTTCAATCGGTCAATATCTCCTCGTAATAGTACTTAATATTTTTGTTTTGTTACTTTTAAAGTTTCAAGCGTTTTCATTGCTGTCTAAATGTCTTCTTTCATCAAAAGCTCCTAAATTTACAAATGATAAAATAGTTGCAGCATTCTTGTGCATATTTAAAAGATTTAATGAAATAACTTCCTGGAAATGAATACACAAATGAATAATATTTTGTTGGAATGCTCAACCAACTAATCTTTTGCCTTCATATATGTGGTCTCTGGCAAGAAATCAATGTGGAGTTGACCACAACGATGGTCAACAAGTGTATAATATTGTGTTATACGTACTTGGTATTCCGGAAACTAACTTGAGAGGCCGTAAAACTCTTACTGCTCTCAAAGTTCTCAAGTCAAACTGAGAGTTTGAGGCATAAATTGTGATAAACCTGCAAAAAATAAAGAGAAATCCACACCATTGAAGCACTAAGGTTTGAAGCGGCAGAGATCTACACTAGAGGCATCAATCACAATTCGGCACCAAAAAAAAATCATAGCTTGAGTTTCAAAGTAAATAACTTTTTCATAAATTTTGTATTTGTAGGTATTGATCTATTTTTCATTTTTTTATGAAATTAATTTAACACATTCTTCTGTAAATAAGCCCATGTCTGGTCATGGACTCACCAAAGTCTATGGTTGTTTTGCAGAATTATCCAAAGTTGGTATTTCCATGTCCTGTAATGAGCTCATCTACTGAATTCAAGATGTCATATTTTGTATATGCTCCTTGGGCTTTTTACAGGATAAATACTGAACAAACATCTTTTTTAACGGAATCTATCTATCCAAAACTTTTTCGTCTTGATTTTCTTGCCCAAATTATGATTTCATGCAGAAGTTAATTGGAATCCACAATAATACTAGAGAAATTTAAATTCAGAAGTCACTTTAAATGATTTCTTTCTGAAACAAAGATCACTTCGATGAACACATGTACTGGAATGGATTTCTTTTCCTCTTAAATAAAAAAAAACTAGCACTTTTCAACTGCAAAGGATCCCTTTACTTAACGAGGGCAAATTGTTCCTAAAATGGAATTCATCTCTACAGGAATGCATAATGCAGGGAAATATTGTTGGAAAATGAAAGGATGACTTTTTGAAACGAAATGCATTGCATTGCTTTAAATACTAAAATATGATGATAATGGTTAGGTTCTGAACCTTTATCATAATTAAAGCATGCATGACAAATGTGAACATCAAAATCCTTTATCATTTACCAGAAACATCAAAAGATCACTTTTACTACTTGTTCAGTTACATCATTTTCTAATTTTTGGACATTTTCAGTCAGCAGTTATATGTTCTATATAAATGATGAAGTAATGACTAGGTATGAAACTTCTAGCAGATAATTGGCTGGGTGTGAATTTAAATCATAACCTTTATTTTTAATTTAAGAACATTTTACCTGCATGTACTTGCATTAATAATTAATATTCATTTAATTAAATTAGGAAATTAATAAAACAAAATCTAGAGATCGAGATTATCATATCATTTCATAAACTCTGAACATAGAATATGTACATAACAGGACAGTAAAAATAACAATGGAGCCAAATAGGGTTATGAACTTTGGACGTTCAAATTATTGGCAGACATTCTAACCAACAGCATTGGTCAGTGGTTTACCTGACCCAGTCACACTACAACACTACCCTCTGTACCAGTCAAGCCATTCTAATTTCTAGCTGCTTCATCTCCAGGCATCTATGTCAGGGACGTATTTATAATAGACATATATATACGTCCCTATCTATTTCTACTAAATAAGTGCATTCATTACTACAATCATCTTTATTACAAACCATTTTACCTGAAAGCGCCCAGCAAATGCCCCAGGGTAATTCTACAGGTTTGTGAACAGGGAATGGGACTAATCAGGGAAACCATCCAGAGAGCAATCTACACCATTTCACTGCTTCCCACGTATTTATTTACACAAAAAAAACTTACTCTCGATGCCCGTCACAAGTTTTAGGGGACGCAAGACCCTCAAGATACTTCCAGCCCCCTGAGATGACGGTGTAATATTACAGTAGTCTAATAACCTGGTATGAATATCAAAATATATCAGTACTCTAGTAGACAAGAAGCATATATGATCATTTTGATTAAATTCTGTTTTAAATATAAATGGTTTGAAGGAAAGGTAACCATGTCGGTGGTAATTTAGAAGCTGACAAGGGACACAAGATAAAATGCAGAGCTCAACCTGTTGGCCAGGTCTGAATCACTGCATCATTACTCATTATACGGTGTTTTATTCATGTATACATTTTTCACATGTGAATTATATAGATAAATTAATACACCCAAGATGGACCGTGAGATAAAACGGGAATATGCATTACTTAATACATGAAGATGTCACTGGGTGCAAATACATGTACATAAAATTTATACATGTTACATCTTCTGAAATCATGCACCAAAAGGGAAGGGAGCACTATCCAGCTTAAATGGAATACAGGTTGTTCTAACCCACTTGTAGTTTCGTCCTTAGTCAATCCAGTTTCGGCCCCAGCTCAGTTTGGCCCTTGTTTCTTAATCATTTCGGACCCTTACTTTTTTCCAATAAAATCTATTTTCACAAGCACTCATTCTCTTTTATTGTTGCACTAGATAATGTATAATTGTTATAATGACATTCTGCAGCGGGCTTTGTTCAATCTTGTGTTAGTATAAATGGTTGCTTCTCACGGCTCGCTTCTAACACATATTGAAGGAATATTTATTTAATTAGCATCACAAGTGAAAATCTTCAAAACTTTAATTACATCCCTAAAACTGTGATTTCAGTTGAAATCTAAATAAAATACGAATTTGTGTTATAAAGCCAAAGGAGGTATCATAATAATTTCGAACACAACTCCTTTCGCGAACATGGCGGACGAAGGTAGGAAAGATCGCTCTCTCGGGAACAAAATGCTGCAGTACCTGTGACAGATGGACACACTGGACTTGTGGTACAGGTAGACAATATAATTATCCAATGCCTTTTATTATTGCAATTAGGCCTATTTATCACTGTTGACATGTCTATCCTATTGAAATTTAATATTTGTAGTGTTTATGAGAACACATCAAAATGTCATTACATTCCGCAAGCGATGTATCTTCAGCCCGGGTCAAAATTGCTTAGACAGCAAAATATCATATTGATCATGAACTTCAGACTCAGCATAAACCGTTTGATTTCCATGTCTGCGGTTAGCAGATTTGATTCCGGCGCCATTGTTCTAAATTTTCTTCCCTCCAACACAAAAGAGTTCAATCCTTTTACTGTCTTTACCGTAAATAACATATCTTCATAGAGTGACATTTAAAATCTTGTCACGGATAGTTTAAATCGGGCACTAATATTCTAACCACATACATGTATAAGCACACGCTACACTGTAACTTTTGGAAACGACTTTCATGCTATTTCTATAGCGCGAGGTATCCGTGCATTTTACTTACCCTGTAACTACGACTACGAAATCCATGATGTTCCAGACGTTTCGTAGATACGACCCACGATGTAAACAAAATCCCAAAGCAACTATTTTCAACAGCGCTTCTACACAAAATATCCCAAGGAAGTACATCTCAGTCGCTTCCTAAAATATAATAGAAAAAAGGTTTAGAAAATTACTCAACATTCAATTTCCCACTTCTCATTTGTTATATATTGTACGATTAATTCTGAAAACTAATATTACTGTTATTGCTATAAACAACGAGACACATAATTACGACATTCACTTTTGTATTTATTAAAAAAAAAAACGGATTTTCAAAAGGCGCGAGTGCGCTCTGACACATGGCGCTCTTCGTCATCAAGTACACTTGTATACGTACCAGCTGTAAAGCTAGGGGCGTTCTGTCGTCGTCTGGAAGATGTTCTTCCAAGGCGAGTACGATGCAGTTGGCGATGATTGTCAGGAGGACCATGTACTCGAATGGCGTGATGAAGAGTCAAGGATTGTAATGTAATACAATTTTGATGAAATACATTATATTCGCAATATATAAGTTATTATTATGATCGGTGAAAAAGCATCGGTGTACGTTTCTTTGAAAAAATCACACTGACAAAAAATATCAGAAAGAGAGAGACAAGGAGAGAGGGAGAAAAAGAGAAAGGCTTGCTATGGCTATCCATTGCAGATTTTCAATGCACAGGACAAATAACAAATATTTGTTATGAAGTTTGGAAATAAACAAGAGCAATATTCATTCGAAAAATATATGGTACACATCGGATTGAAACATACACGTGAACGTTTTTGTTTAACACAATATTGAACTCAAATGCATGGCCACTTCCTAGAAACAGCACGGATAACCGATAAACAAGAAGATCGATGATTGAAAAAAATTCTCATGAACTGGTAACTTTCATGTCGATGATTGAATCAGGTGTACAAATTATTCATCAGTGGAATGTAGACTTATCATTTCAGTCTATGAAAAAAATCCTTCAAACATATTGTCCGTGTCATTATTATATCTCTCGCAAATGAACGTTTCTCTGACGAGACATACACATGCACGTAACACATTAAATACCGGCATACATTAACTACGTGTGGATACCTTGTTTAAAATTCACAACATTTTACCTTTCTTGCTGGAAATATATTGGAACTAAACAAAAAATACATAAATAAATCACAGGAAGTCTACATGGCTGAGCTTTCCAAGACAAGAAGATAAATCTATCACTGTTCCGGTTTATTCAGCCCCTCCCCCCGTGTAAAGATTTACCCTATTTGACTGAAATGTTTTTATGACCCATTTTCTGCCATGGATTATTGTATATTCTATACATGCATGGCGTAATTTTGTCATGTTTTATGAATGTATGTCAAACCCATTATTGCTTAAAATGGCAAAATATGGCTCAATTTATTTGTGAATAGACAAATCAGACATTGTATACATATGATATACATATACATTTGATATCAATCTAATTAAAATACGATCTCACAGATCGCAGTCAGAGTTATATATTTATGACCAGTATCATATTTTATTCTTATAACTGGGATACCACGTTCCTACAAATACTAGATACATACATACATACAGGAATTGCCAAATGTCCAGAAAGAAACGATTGTATATATTCATTGTCACTGAAGTAAAATACTATATAATGACAGACTAATGGAAAATACATGTGAGGGCAGCAGAGTCTGTAAACACATCTGCAAACACGGTTATTTCTAAAGAGTTACACAAGTGCCATGACTTTGCGGGTGACGTCAAAGTCACGTCGCCTTACGACATTCGCCGTTACCGCCTGTTCGCATTAATGGTGGGCTAATAGATTTGTGATGTATGTTTCGTCTAACGAAATTAATAAGTGTAGTTTCGAACGTACGAGAAAGAACACTGTTTGCATCTTACAATGCCCTTGGGCACCCCAGCCGATATCCAGACTGTCTGGTGTGCCTGTTTGACGGTCAATGTATGTGCATATTCACAACTTACATTGTATCGGTAATGGAGTCATAACGCTATGAATAAATGAAGTGTTATTTGTAGAGATTCATACAACACCATCTAAGAAAGTCTTACCTCTGGTTATCTTCTAAATGCTAGGGTGTTTTTTGTTACAAATATATACTTCTCGTTAGGTGAAAATGTAATATAAATTGAAAGGAGATAAAGAAAAAATCAAATGCAAATGCCGTATCTATGATATTGTCTAAAGTGGTTTCATTAAAGTTCAAAGCATCACACCCTAATACAACAAGACCTAAACGAAAAATACAGAAGGTTAAATAACAGATTACAATAGTTACATGATTGGTCTGACTACCCTAAATAATTGTCTCCTATTTTTACACCACAATTACTCAGTATAATTCTTATGTGGAAAATTACCTAGAATAATGCTGAACTTGTTGTGTACTACAACTTATTTATATCATAAATGTAACAGAGGTCATTATTTATTTCAGCTAGGAATCGAATATAATGACCTCTGTTACATATATATATATATACTTATCATTGTGGATAATGTCTGAAATAGGTGGAAGATATATCTAAGATATAAAGTCATTTTGAAAAATTGTCAGAAATGCCTCAGAAATCGACACCACGTCTTATTTTTCCGATGTCAATGAAATATCGTCTCCCTTTTATATGACAGAAAAAATAAATCAGCTAAAAATTCGAACGTCCCTCTTTTTTATGACAACAAATGAAATAAAAGCTGAAACGTGGCCATCATCTTAACGTTGATGGAATACGTTTTAATTCCGTAGATAATAAAGGACGCGCACAGTTAAAACTTCATCAGTACCTGCGATAAGTGAACACCTCACGCTGAGTGTTGGTGTTACACATCTCACACAACATAAACCTGGTGTAACAATTACACAAGCAGTGCTCAAGCGGGGGAACGTTTTATACGCATCAGCATGACAATCTAACGAATGTTTTGGTGGCATGTTTAACTCAAATTGAATTATGTTGTTCAAGTGTGTGTTTTATCATGAAAGGGTTGATGACCTTGACCGACCTGTGTATCGATCGACTGTGAAAATTGTCATTATTTGCCAATGAGGGTGTTTCGCCTCCACCTGCATCTACGGAATTAAACCGGAAGTTGAATAATGGGCGCATGTGCAGACATGTAACATGCAATATGGTGGTTATCTCACTCTTTCATCATCATTACCCAATGTCGAGGAGTGATTTAATACTACACTCTCCACATGTTATATTCTTATCTTAAATTTAGTTTACAAAAAATACATCATTTTGACGGAGTATAAAATCAACGCGACTTTAACAAGAGACGATAAAAGAGAAAAGACAGCAATCATTTAGAAACACTCTACATAATATGAATTATGACAAAGCCATTTGGAGCGAGCGTAGTAGCAAACAAAATAAAATGTAGTTGTGTATTTCATTGTGGTAAACAAACCTGACAAAGTGTTTGGTGACAATATTCATTTAACTTAAGGTTTAAGGAACTCATCATTCCTTGTATATTGTATCTACATATTATTGCATTCCTAACCAGTTCATGGTGCATTGTTTTTCATTTCAGACAATTCCTGTATGTTTTGTCGAGTAAGATACTAATCGCCATAGTCTCGTTCAACAACATTATTCTTGCTTGCACACACGATGAACGTTTTGGTGAGTGAGATTATTTGTTGCTATGTCCGCCATGTTGCTAACCGCAATTGGCGCAAAGCATTACTGGGAATTCCACTTCCGTGTCTCAAATTCATGACAGAAAGAATGTGTGAAAATTTTCACTTTTTTCCTCGCGCTTGTTATCTTCAGGGCGTGCTATGCCCGCTATTAATAGATATCTATAAATTATTGTTGCATATTTAACTGACCGTTTATGTGCTTTAGATTATTTCACAATTTAGTAAATGGCTAACAGATAACGATCACTATCCAGAATGTTTTTGATTCCCTTATACCTCCTTAAGTCCCCCGCACTGCTATTGACGTAATCGTATTTTTATTCTCATAGACAGAAAACGCTTACGTTCAATTGCACGATGCATTGGTCCAATAAGATTAGATGTTGACTGGATGTTTTTTTTTCTGAATGTCCTATATTTTATATGTGCATTTGATTAGTATACCTTGAATTATAACTGCAAGTCATGTACACCAATATACCAAGGCGAACTTGTAAAGTAATTCCATACTGACTTAATGCATTTTACACGAGGCGTCAGACGGCTATTCAATTCTGATCATCACATGAGTATCTGCATTATCGAGTTTGGACGCGATTCCATAGACACAAATCGTTTAACTATTGCATAACACTGGTTGGCGAACTCCCCTGTGAACGGTAGGCATGGTGGACCACAGGCTTGATAAGATCATCTTGCATTGCCTAGCAGCATTTAGTTATACAGCATGCGGCAATGACGACAGGGGGTACAAGAACCAAGACCAACAGACACGGGCAAATTATTCATGGAACACCGCCATTTGTGTGCATGGATGACATCGAGATTGGCTCGACATTTGAATCCTTACAGACAGCAATCAGAAGATGCGTGGTGATGCTGCGGTCACATGCTATGGCACCTAGTCGTCTGCGTTATTGCATTCAGCGATCCTCTTTTTTTTTCGTTTGGTTTTCCGTCATATTATTTTTTTAGCCGAATGTGCTTTGTAGGCATGTTAAGACCTATATCCAGTTTCTCAAGGCCAAGCGACAGCATAAAAAATCGTACCTGGCCCTTGTTCTTCATGGAACCGTGTGCTGACAATGAACGACTTCGTGACAGATCTATTGGATATTGAAGGTGAAAAACTATAGATTTCGAAAAAAGAAAAAAAAACATTTTCTATCATAAAGAACATACGTTTTACAAACATTTATCCATTTTTGTTTGGAAAAGAACTTAAATAATCACGTAAAAACAACAACAGATTTAACATATTGAATGTTATGTAACTATGACAAGTGAGAAGGATTGCAGAGAGAACTGCTTGTCGTTGCGTATTCCAGATAGGAAAAGGTAAACATTGAAAATTTCATTTCAAATCAGATTCGAATATAAAAAGGAAAATGCAAAACACTTGTAGGGTGATTTATTACGTGAAGTTATCCCAATGTCAGATTTGAATTACTGTAGTTATCGACTTTGTCACCAGTTTCTCCGAATAGCTGTATGTCTGATTTCTTCTCATCATTTTCTTTTTTTGTGTGTGTGCGTTGGTCTCGACTAATCTCTCCAAGGAGCGACCGTATCGATTCCAACAAAAGCTGCATATGGACGAACAGTTAAGCTCTCTCCTGTTAACAGCTGTAGTTTTTACGCTTGGTCGTAGTAACGAAAGAGGTGATGGTTGATGATGATGGCGGAAATGGTGATAGAAAATCCATGTTAATCTTCACTTGTTCATATGCCATATTCTTTTGGGAAGATTGCCCAAAAAACTCCAAATACAGAAATC